ACCGTAACGTAAACGAGCCAATCAGCCGGCTTTGTGGCGGCAATCATCCTTTGATTATACGGCACTTACCTCGCAAAACAGGGTCGCGATTCTATCGGACAATCATTTTCATCTTTGACGAAATACGAGAGAGGATAAATAGCGTACAAAAACAGCGTCGCGACACATCGGCTCGCCGACCACCAAAAAATCGCGTAGTTTATTTAAAGTTCGAGAAAAAGTACCGCAGAATTCCGTGATCGGCTATACAGGCTATTGTGCTTCTTCTTTTGCGCGGAGGAGAAGAGACACTCTCGAAGAATGATGGTTATGGGAAAAAGAGTGCTTGAACACGGACGTTGGTCAGGCTCCCGCGGTTCCAATTACGATTGAAAGGCGGCCCTGTTTGTTCGCCTCCTATAACTGCGGACTCTTCAGTGCCTCGTACAAGGCACTCTTACCCCATGGCCACTTTCGAGTTTCGACGCGTGTGTTTCCATGGCGAACGACGCGATTTCATCCACCGCCAGAATCTTCCTTCTTTCGCTCCGCAACAACGAACGCGCTGTCCAACGGCTGTTTTGTTTCCCGGCACGCAACGCGCGTATTTCGTATAGGATTTTCTCCTCTAGAGAAAAGAAATAGAAATTTTAATGCGGATATTGATCGAAAGAAAGACCCCGTCAGCAAAAGCCACTTAAACTGAATAAATAAAATTGAAAGGAAAAATACAATCGCATGTTTGTGCAATAAACCGTAAGCAAAGATACATATACGAAACGGCCTCTTTCGTTCTGCTCTTCACTGAAACGAATCGAGTGAACATATTTTTACTCCAAGAAAATACGATTGACCCTTTAGACCGCGATTCCGATGTCTTAAGGGTTTGCAGTTTTTTCGTTAAAAAATATCGAAAATGAAGGAGGCGGAGGTTCGATATTTGTAGCATCAATTGGAATTGTTAACCGTGATAAACAGAGGTCTCTCCTTCTGGTCGCGTCCCGTCTATCAATGGAAAACGAGCAGGCGTTCTCTTCTCGTTTTTCGCGAATACACCGCTGGACGATGCTGCTCCGAACAGAGAATATTCAGATCGACAGTTATATTCACACGCGTGGTCGCACCTCAATGGATTTTGCTTTTGCCGCGATTGTTAACGATTTCGAAGCCCTCGCGGCATCGCGGTTTTGATCCATCACCATCCCACCCCCTTGCTTTTCCTCTCTAACCCTCCCGTACCACGCCACGCGACTCCCTCTTCGACTCTCACTGTTCTAAATCGTTCCACCGTGATCCTCTCCACTGTTTTTTTATCCGTATTTACCAATTCGTTCCAACTCGATCGACGACCGCGACTCTATTATTGATAATCATTCAGACTCTGAATGTCTCATCGAAGGAATACCTTTTTTCTTTGCGATGTTTTCAATTTTTTTTCCTCACACCTTATAAAGAATAATTTACCTGCAACATTTTTTAGTAGAATATTCGTTCGTATTTTATGTATTCTTCTACGAAGTACCATCGCAAACGGAAGGATGCAGATCCGACCGAACACAACTTCTCTAATACGATTATGGAAATAGAATCCATATTATTTTGTTATTATCCAATATAATAATATTAGTGAATTAAGATATCATTCCTACGGAAAATCCACAACCGCAACAATGTGCCATGGAGAATTTAAATTTATATGTAGATTTAACTCAAAAAGTCGGAAGGTTAAAAAAAATGACGCGATAGAAAAGCTGGCAAACATCTTTATAGCGATGCGCAGTAGTATTGCACGAATTTCAGAAGATTTACATCATTGAGTCGTATCACTAGTGCCTATTACAATGCATAGATAGCCAATTAGTTTGGTCAGAGACCGCTAGATGGTGCATCGGCACTTCACGGGACGAGGGTTTCTCACAAGTCCTCTAACGAGGGCATGCTCCAATATATAAGAGTTCGAATAATTACCAGACGTACTTGCTTCGGCAGTACATATACTAAAATTGGAACGATACAGAGAAGATTAGCATGGCCCCTGCGCAAGGATGACACGCAAAATCGTGAAGCGTTCCACATTTTTTTGCATTTTTATTTTCTTTCTAAAATATGACCGTATATTATCAAGAGCTAATAACGTTACTCACATAATTTCAATAAAAATTTCGTTCGTCTACCTAATTTTATGCTTTAACCTTCTAAAATGAAGTTTTCCAATTTAGACCTCTGACTTTATTACTTTCTACCTTAAAAATTTCATACTTTTTCATTGGAAATACATTTGTCGCACATTTTAATGCTGTCACAGTTTCTGTTTAATTAATCTTCGGCCATAAAAAGACACCGGGTATTTACACAACAGTTGATACTGATCAATTTCGATGCTCTATTAAAATAATTTTACAGTGTTACGATACATGACAGGCTAATAGACTATGGTAATTACACGTTACTTGTTTAGTCGATCCAGATACACAGCAGGGAATAGTAGTAGAATACGTTTCGGTCTGTGATCCGTAATCATCCCCTCCGCAAGATCGAAAAGAGATATTCACCCCACGTTGAATCCCATTTGTCCAACGCGACCATAGGTGGCTGTATCGGGATGAAATTTGTGTCCCTCGTGGGGAGCAAATATCGCAAATTACCGATAACAATCAGTTGACAAGGGACGATAATTTCCGAGCAATTCGCGTCAAACTACCCCATCGTATCTAATTTCCATTCATTTAGCCTCTTCTAAATCGCGACAGATGCGATCAGCGATGATGTCTTTCGCGCTCAAAGCAAAAAAACACTAGTTTATTACCTCGATAAATCGATTAAAGATCTATCGATGCGTATCGGTGACAGTTAAAATTCAGATAGCTTGATCATTTATTACGATAACCTTGAGAAAAAATAAGGCGCGCTTCGAAATCTATAATATTTATGCAAAAATTTAAGGGGACAACGATTCGTCGGCGATACTCAGAGAAAAGAGCCCTTAACACCTTGATAAAGATATCGAACGTGGATAAAAGCCGATTGTTATTCTAATTCGATTGGATGCAAAATAACGAGTAGGGCGAGGAGATTGACGTGCCGCGTCAAAAAATCGTCCAAACAATAGAGGGTTGTTCATCGTCGAACTTATTACGAGCGTCTTTGTTTTTGCAGCTCGACGGCCCTCAATTTATCTCGTCTTCATGCATTTATTCCGCCGTTTGCGCCGTCTCCGAGGCCCTTTTCCAGCGAGCACGAAGAAGATGATGCCCGGCCGCTTTGCTGCCCCTTGAATTAATCCCCTGCATACGTTAATCCTAATGAATTCACAAACGCGCCCCGCCGTGTCCGACTCTGGGGCCACATTGGCGAGGGTTCTCCGCTTACAGGTGCCAACACGCAAACTCGAGCCATTAAAGTACATCACCATGCATACACCGATATAGACTTTCTTCTTTCAATACACGGCGAGAAAGGGGATGAACCTTGCATTTTATGCAACGCCACGCGACGTCGCGTTGCCGAAAACTGCACGAACTAACCCTTCTGCTTCGTTCATCGAGCGACGGAGTAAATATTTATTTATTTATTTATTCGTTGTGGCGAAGCAGTTCGTACTTGTTAAGCATCGAGATCAACGATAACTTCAGAGATATTTTCCTATGAAATACGCGATACGTGGGGTATATTATTCGCATTATGGAATACCAGGATAAGCGTGTAACGTACAGTATCGAGATGACAAAAGCTGAAAAATCAAATAACGATTCACGAGATTCGTTAATTAAGCAACGAACAAGACGTACAGCAAATTCGGTGAGCTGTTTGCAAAAGTCAAAGGAACGAGGATTATACAGAACCGCGTAGCATCGCGATTCATTTCATATTTTTTTTTTTAATTCTACATCGACGGGAATCCAGCGTGGATGATTTCGCGGAACGTGAAATATTTAGGTATAGAAAGCAACCGAATGCGAGGCCATAGAGTCGCGCGAATACTACCGGAAGGTAAGTAGCGACTCGGTGAATAGACTAACGGGGCGCTGCGAAAGCCAGGAACGGAGAAAAGGGAGTGAAAAGGGGATAGACGGTGTCGAGGATTGCTGGTTTCATGCATCATGCATATTTACGCTCACATACTAGCTGTAGAAGATGACGAAGCGGGCCGACGAGGGATCCGCAAATTGCGAGGACCGTATTTATGCAAATACATCCCTCGCCATCCCAAACTCTGCACACTCGTATTCGACTTGCACCTTGCACCACTTTTCCTGCGCACCGTTTCAGCCAGTAAATTGACTTCGTTATGATCTGCTCCGAATCACTCGATGCTACGTATCCTTAGCAAAGGAAGTTCAAGTAAAATGCACAGAAAAGGGAAAGGGAGTTTGCCAACGACGACTAGAAACACTGCTTTATCTCGTACCGTATAACGATTCTTTCTCTATCGTACGATACTGTACACTTACGCGAATAGAAAGTATACAAAGAACGACCACCTCTGAGCAACTAAGGTTTCTCTTAACGCTGTATAAATTTTCCGATGCAGTGGGATGCGCGAATGTTATCGTGTCCCGAATAAGGGTTACTCTTCTTCTACCATTCTTGGTAAAAGAAAGATAAATAAAACGAATTGTGCGTAAAAGTTCTAACGAAATGAAGCAAAAATTTTCTAGCGATACCAGAAACGTTGCGTCGTTCGAATTTTAAAAAACTAAATAAAAAAAACGAAGAAGGAAAAAGAAGCAGAAAAGGAAAAATTAGTCAGTAACGACCAAAAGATTTTATGATCTCGAAAGGAGAATAAAAGAAGGAAAAGTTTGAAACGAAAAGTATACGATCTTTAATTTTTTTATTCACCGTTGACTCGCGGCGCGGAAAAGCCAGAGCAAAGAGCGCGCACGTCGAACGCGGGAAAAACGGGGCCGTTGAGCCACCCCCGGCCGGGCTGACAGAACAATCTCGATATCGCGACTCTATATACCAGCAGAAACGTTTCACATCCAATTTGTTCCTCTCGTTTCGCGGTAATCGCTCGCCAATGACTTTTGCACCCCTCTCGTTCCCTTCCTCGATGCTTGCCAGTCTCTGTGTACGCTTCTCGAAGCGTGCACCGAAAATCCTGCCACCCACCGAGCCTCCTCTCGTTGCCCTTCAACGGTGTGCACCAAGGGTTCAAAGTTAGAAGCCAACCCCTTTTCGCGCAGGCCGCTTTCGACCGACCAATAGTCGTCGAGCAGCCACGATTTCCACCCTTGGCTCGCGAGTTAACTCGACCAATGGGCGACCGGTTGCCGCAGACGGGTAGGGGTGGCATGGCGCTTCCACCCCCAAAATGGCTGCGAAATCGCGCGAGCATTAGGCAGCCCGTTCGAAATAAACGGGCGGATTAATTGTAGAAGGGTAGCGAGGAGGTGCGTCGGTGTAACTCGTGCCAGTAACTTTTCCAACCCCCACCTGCGATGCTTTCGGAGCAACATGCGCTCGTCGCGGAGGATACCAAATCTTTGGACAGACATATCCGGTCATCCGCTGCGACGCAGAACGACGCTTAGCGTCCGCAGGTTAGCATGATAATTCTCGGGTCGGTCGTTGTTCGAGTGTTTTCGTGCCGATACACAGCTTGCGATCAGCTGATTCGTGCGGTTACGGTATTTTAAAAGAAACGTTGGTTCTTCGAACGGTTACTTCTGAGAGACAGAAGTGATGATGCAGGAGCACAAGTCGTTCCTTATAAGGGATCTTCTAGGGGATGTTTTGTCGGAACGTGTACACGGTAAGTTTTCTTGGATCAGAACACGTTATGATTGAGAAAAGTTTACGTATCTTTTATTACTAACGAACGCGAGGTTTCTATCATTTATGCATTAATACATCTTGTTAACGTTTATCTCTTATAACAATTTCACAATTCTTTGCCTTATTTTTGTACGAACATTAAAGGAATGAAATTCATTTAAAAATTAAACAAAAAGATTTGTACTATTCAGAAGGTATATGTGTTTATCGGGCATGTAGTTTCGAGTGCTTTTTTAATCGCGAAAAAATCGCTAAGGAACATCAATAGTGGAAGCTAGCGAATCCCAATCGTAAATTCGAATTCGAATAATCGAGAAGTTAGAATTTCGATCGAGTGTGACGAGAGTCGCGTGGCCTGTCGACATGATCCTCGTTACAGAATACCCCCCAGAGCGGTTCTATTATCTTTAGCCAAGATTCGCAGCCCTAGGGGTATCGTGGGGCCCCGATCAGGGTGCTGCCCCATTACCGACGATCCTACAGATGGTCCAAGCTGCGGAAGGATTCGTTAGCTCTCGTTAGTCCGAATTTTCATCGGCGATTATCGCGTCCTGCTGCGTTTCGTCGCTTTCATTCGTCACTCGAGATTAGCTACCGACCGTTCTCGTAATTGAGATCGTTTACCATTAACCAAAAACGATTGCCGACGTTTCTAAATCCTTCACACAGAACGGATAATAGACTTTGAACGAGGAATCCATAATGAAAATAGTTTACGATAGAAGATCCTTGAAATTGGATTGAATCTTGTTCGCTTTTATTTGTCTAATAAGAAAAAATTATTATTCGGTTAATGCAAAATTAGAAACAGTCGTGCGATAATCTAATCGCGGTTTTCGATAATGTAAGTTTTGCGACAGATCTTCGAACTGAAAAAAAACCGTGTTATTACAGAAGATTCGGAGGACGATTCGGCAGTTCATTCGGATTCCGAGGACACGATCGACCCTGGAAGTAGTCCGTGTACGCGATTGGAAAGTCCTCCTCCGACGCTCTCACCTTCACCGGCACCAGCAACCTCCGGCAAGTCCTGTGGATCCGCGAACGGTCCTCCTAGCGGACGGAAACCTAGGAGAAGACGAACAGCGTTCACTCATGCCCAGCTTGCTTATCTGGAGAGAAAGTTTCGTTGTCAAAAGTATCTGAGCGTCGCGGACCGAAGCGACGTCGCCGATGCCCTGTCACTATCGGAGACCCAAGTTAAGACCTGGTATCAAAACAGAAGGTCATTATTCCTTTCGTTGTCGTTGATAAACGAGCGACTACGATCGTTCGCGTAGTGTGCCTGATTGATCCTCTAAGTCGAACTATCCCCGTAAACACCCCTTCCCGAAAACCTGTTTAAAAATTTTCAACAAAAGCTAACCGTGTAATTACAGGACCAAATGGAAGCGACAGAATCAGCTACGTCTAGAGCAGCTACGCCACCAAGCGACGGTAGAAAAAGAGCTGTTGGTGCGAGGCGTAGGTCTTCACCATGGGAGCATAGACGCCTATTGCCCACCGTACAACGCACAGACCCAAACGCAAAGTCATCCGCCTCCACCGCCGCCACCGCCAGCTTCTTCCACCGCCTCGACGGCCGCCTTCCTCTCCACCGCTGCCGCTCTCTTTCGAAACGTCACCTACGTTCACGGATGTCCGCTTTAACCAGGCCTAATACCACGGTTCCAGGATCGTTTCCGCTTTCCAGAGACCGTCGTCAGCGTTCCTCTCTTCAAAGTATCTTCTTCTTCGATAACGAAGCGGATACTCAACGCGGTGAACCTCTGCGACCTCGAATACCTTTGCCGACAGTTTCGAAACTTTTGCATCGAGCTCTCGCTCATCGGCCTCGTTGAATCGTTCGTGCACATCATAGTTCTTAGTTGTTTCACAGTGAAGTGCGGGAATTGAGGAAGAAAGAGTTTACGTTCACCATCTTGGCGTTTTGAGTTACAGGGAAGCACCTAGACGATTTCGTGCTCCACCCTTGGAGTTGTTTCTCGTGTTTATCTTTTGCATGCGAGACGGCAGTGTACATATGTAATTACGAAGTTGGTCGGTAGTTGTCGTCGGTTCTTATTTCAAAGAATAACCGGGGAAAAAGGCGGGATTAGGGGAAATCTTTAGAAAGCGGATCTGCTTTCATCGTTCGAGAACATTTGCTTGTTCTAAGTTACACTTCGATCATTTCTTTTGTTAATCGAAACGAACAAGTCGACGATTAACGCGTTTCGTGCCGTACGAGCTATTAATGAACCACGTCATTTGTAGCAAGTACGATTTTAAACAATTTCTTGAGAAACTTTTAGATTAGGTTGCGTGACCGTATGAATACGACGACTCGGTTCTTCTTAATAGTAACTATGATTCTCTCATCGTTACACGGCACGGAACAAGTTAACCGAGAAAAGTCTAGTTAAATCGGTAGCAAGTTGAATTTGTAGATTTGATATAGGGTTGTAGGTAACCATAACGAGAAAGAGAAAACGAAAGAAAAGATGTTTATTACGATTTTCGTTTAGAGATTTAGTTCGCTAACGCTGATAGTCGATCACCTTTTCCAGTTAGTCGACGACTTTTCGTCAACGACAAATTTCTTGTAGATAAATAAATTATTATCAAACTGAAACAATCATTTTTTATTACCCCTTTCATGTTTCATTTTCTTTTTCGTTTTAAGAAAAGAATTCAACGGCTCATCTTTCTCTGACATCTTACAGCTGTTTAATTTTCTTTTATTCGTTCTCTTTCGAAACGTCACCTACGTTCACGGATGTCCGCTTTAACCAGGCCTAATACCACGGTTCCAGGATCGTTTCCGCTTTCCAGAGACCGTCGTCAGCGTTCCTCTCTTCAAAGTATCTTCTTCTTCGATAACGAAGCGGATACTCAACGCGGTGAACCTCTGCGACCTCGAATACCTTTGCCGACAGTTTCGAAACTTTTGCATCGAGCTCTCGCTCATCGGCCTCGTTGAATCGTTCGTGCACATCATAGTTCTTAGTTGTTTCACAGTGAAGTGCGGGAATTGAGGAAGAAAGAGTTTACGTTCACCATCTTGGCGTTTTGAGTTACAGGGAAGCACCTAGACGATTTCGTGCTCCACCCTTGGAGTTGTTTCTCGTGTTTATCTTTTGCATGCGAGACGGCAGTGTACATATGTAATTACGAAGTTGGTCGGTAGTTGTCGTCGGTTCTTATTTCAAAGAATAACCGGGGAAAAAGGCGGGATTAGGGGAAATCTTTAGAAAGCGGATCTGCTTTCATCGTTCGAGAACATTTGCTTGTTCTAAGTTACACTTCGATCATTTCTTTTGTTAATCGAAACGAACAAGTCGACGATTAACGCGTTTCGTGCCGTACGAGCTATTAATGAACCACGTCATTTGTAGCAAGTACGATTTTAAACAATTTCTTGAGAAACTTTTAGATTAGGTTGCGTGACCGTATGAATACGACGACTCGGTTCTTCTTAATAGTAACTATGATTCTCTCATCGTTACACGGCACGGAACAAGTTAACCGAGAAAAGTCTAGTTAAATCGGTAGCAAGTTGAATTTGTAGATTTGATATAGGGTTGTAGGTAACCATAACGAGAAAGAGAAAACGAAAGAAAAGATGTTTATTACGATTTTCGTTTAGAGATTTAGTTCGCTAACGCTGATAGTCGATCACCTTTTCCAGTTAGTCGACGACTTTTCGTCAACGACAAATTTCTTGTAGATAAATAAATTATTATCAAACTGAAACAATCATTTTTTATTACCCCTTTCATGTTTCATTTTCTTTTTCGTTTTAAGAAAAGAATTCAACGGCTCATCTTTCTCTGACATCTTACAGCTGTTTAATTTTCTTTTATTCGTTCATACTACTATATACATACTGTTATTATGTATCGCAGATATATCGTGAACGTTTACGTTATATCTAGAATGTAATCGTACCTTCTCCGAATCGCGGTCAACCGCGGATCGAGGATTGCACCGTAAGCGTCGATACATTCTGAACAGATCGATGCACGAAAACTCGACAGCTATTTTATTGAAGCAAATAGCGAAAAGTAACGAGCCCGTATCAGGAAGGCCAATTCGGGCGTGACAATGGGCACGTGGCCAGAAACAGAGATTCGCGAGCCCCGGCTGAAAGTAATTGGCTGAAACCGATACAAGTCGAGTGGCGGTAGTACTCGTGGCTGGAATTGGTTAGCGGATTTAATTGAACGGAATCGACGAGAACCAGAAGAGAAACAGTGGGACAGAAACAGCAGAGAAAACGATCACCATTTGTCGCGATGATTTTGTTCGCCCCAAGCAGCGGTCTCGCGAGTTATAATTGACGAAGATGAGAGATGGGACGAGAAAGAAAAATGTATCATCTCTTTGCACGGGTGATTAAACAGTATTTGATACTGAACGATCGTCTAGTTACCAAGTCCTTAATCGCTTCCTTTCACTTATATTCGCCAATACGAGAAGATGAGCTTCGAGGGGCGATCAGAGGGAAATCGAGTTTGATCAAAATTTGATCGAGGAGTCTCGCTATCGTTTCCATATGGAAACACTTCCTTTTCCATCGTCGTATTAGTAAAGAACTTCCACGATAGAAATTCCGAAGCGAAGATATAATAAAAAATTAAAGTTCATCATCCGAAAGCGGATCGAGTCGCTGGTTCCTATTTCAGAATTGCCAGCACCCATAATATAACGCAACGTTGAGCAAATTAAGTGGCCGCCGAAGAGCTTCGTGGGTACCGACGTGCTTGCCTAGAGAGAGCCTAAAGTCGAGGAAGAACCTAGACGAATCTAAATCTAGCCGGAATATAATCCAACCCTCGTTTGGCTCTCTCTAAAACGTCGTAATTTGTACGCGTATTCGGGTAACGTTCTCTGAGTGAGCTCGCAACGCGCGTACAGTTACAACACGAGTCGATAGAACGCGATAGAAACGCGAGTTTGAAGTAAGTACAACGTGTCGAACGAGGGGATATAATGGGAGGAAAAGATGCGTGGAAAGTTAAAAAGACCCGGTGGAGAGGATACTCTGTTTGAGAAGAAGAAATTGTTGGGCGACGACGTCGAGCCAACGATAAAAAAGAGGGACGCTGGAATGAGAAACACTCCTTTCGGGTTCATTCGGGATGAAATAAACCAGGAAGACTCTTGGTGTCTGTGGTCCTTGAATAATAAAAAAGACAGACACGTTATGCCGAGCGTGAAATCGCGCGAGTGAAGGAAAAATTCTTGCGACCGTTCCTCTCGCGTTCTCCTTTATCTCTTATTCTGTTCGTTTCCAGTGTACTGGCGACCTGAAATCCCTCACGCGTAATTACTTCGACATAATGAATCGCATTTTATTCGTAATAATCCTCTGCGGCGCGTATTGTGCTCGTTCACGTTCGTTTCTTTACCCGTTCCCTTCTAATTTCGTTCTTTAACGCGTGTTAAAGTCGACCAGCGACAACCGACTACCTCTCAAAAGAGAACAAGACACGTTCGGAATGATTTCAAATCATTTGCTTAATGGCTGATTTTAGAACATAGAAAATCTAATATAATTTAATTGCCTAAGACTATTGTAAAGTAGCGCTGTACAAAGCATAATTTCCTTTGTGCGTTAAAAAAATTGCAAAGTCTCCTGGTCTAAGTAGCAACACGAAGAAAGCTTTTCCCAACGTATCATCGTTGTCGTAGATAGCTTCGCCAGAGGTCGAAGAATATATCGATGCGTTCTTCGATTTTCGACGAAGCTAGCTGTTGAACGCTCTTGTCGAATAGTGCACTTGGTCCGCACCCACCTAATATATCGATCTGCGACTCGATTACGTAAAACTTCGGTATTATATTCGAGTACGTGACAATCGGTGTAAACGAACGTAGTTTACTCGCGAATGATCCACTGAAGTGGACAGACCCGCGGATCCCAGTGGTGTATCCCAGCCAAAGAGTCAGACAGAAACTCGAACGAGATCCTGGGATACAAGTGGCGACGCGTGCACTCACGCCACGTGCGTATTGTCGAGCGAATAACCCGTGGACGCGCGTGCATACGTGCGTAAGTCGTGTTGGCACTTGGACACGCGCTTCTTATCCCTCTTCAATTTACGATGCGCCTCTCTTACTCTTACCCTCCGAGAAACGAGTCGTTAAATACTTCACGGGGGGTCATCTCCGTAGCGCGTATGTCGGTTCAGCGATCCTTCGAAATCGTTTCAGCTTTTGAAACGCGTCACCCCTGCGGGATACCTGTGTGTTTGTAACGCGCGCGTTTTCATTGGCGATTAATGATTTCGCTGTTGGATGTCTATTCCTTTCTGAAACACAGCGATTTATCCCCTTAGTTACCGCAAACCTAGACATCGATAGCAGCAACGCTACCAGGAGTAAGAGAAGAAATAACAGAACGGTTTAGTTTCATACTTCCTTCTCGGTTTCCACCATTTTGTTTCGGTGTTGAACCTAGATTATCTCTTCTTGATTTATTTTGTGAATCTCCGCGGACCCTTTGCATCTTATTTCGCCTCCTACGTCATAGCTAATTACAATTAGATCAATGATGTCGTTCTTCGTAGAATAACTATCGAACTCTTACGGAGATCGTGCATCAATCGCGATCGCTCGAAAGTACTCGACGATGTCGATAATCAAGAACGAGCAGAAGAACCGATGAAAAAAACGAAGCGGAAGGACGAAGAAAGCGATCGGATCTCGGTATTTCTAATTCTTTAGGGAGAAAAAAAAGCGGCGGAGTAATTGCTGGAGAAACCGTGGAGGAGTAGGGATCTAGCGATGGCTGACTGCACGGCAGTAGCGAAAAAGGGATTGCGGCTCCGTTGGTGGAAGGCAGAAGTAAAAGGAGCCATGGAAGAGGCAAGGGTGGTTGCGGAGGAAAAAGATGGTACCGTGAGAAGCAAGAGTGTGGAGAGAGCAAGAGAGAGAAAGATAGCGGATCAGAGAGAAAAGAGAAGGGAAAGTAGGATGGGATGTACCGCGAGGGTAGAGGGTGCAAGGTGCAGGGTGCACGGGGGCAGGGCCGAGTGTAACGAAGCTCCGACTTTTTAATTGGAATATATTCAGAAAGCGGAACGCCTTTTCATCGCGGGACTCGATGCACTGAATACGAGCTGAATCAACGCGGAATCAACCGCGCTTGCAACGAGCCTGCTGTGCACCTGCAAACCGGGCCGCGTCTCCGCATTTATACGTAACGGATGCATAGGCGGCTGGATAAAATAACCGGCGAAAACGCGGATAGACCACCTCCTCCGTTCCTCTGCAACCTTTTCTGCCCTTTTCTCTCATCTTCTGCTACGGTTCGCCGATATCCACCAACGTATAATCACCCTGAAAATACGATAAGCGCGAACAAAGCCGAAGAATCGTCGCGCGGTTCGGCAGCCCATTCGTCGATGATTCTATTGATCAGCATTGTTTATCTACTTTAACCACAGGAATAAATAAATGGTCTTAGACATTTTTACGTTTACACGAACAAAATTTTCAGTGTTAAAGCTTCGATGGATACTCGAAAAAGATGAACTGCTGAGAACTATGGTTACACGAAAAAATCAACTTGAGATGGAACAATGAGAAATGCTCATTTTATTCCATTGTCCCGAAAAAATGAACTGTTTATGTATCGCGAAAGCGCACGTCACTTTCCATGAATTTATTCCAACGAAAGGGTCACAACACCTATCCACAGTGGAAAGATAGCCCGCTGTAGCAGCTTCAGCTTAATGGGCTGTTTGCTTGCAAATTGTGGTATCGCTAAAGGGCAGCAAACAATTCGCAACTCGTTTTAACTTCCACATTTCAATTCCAAGAATCTTCAAGTCCCCTCGGCGAGCGTTGCATTTACATAATTGTTTCTTGCTCTCTTTCTCGTTCTATAAAATCGTGCATTCTTTCCTTCCTACCGTTCATTTTTAATTTCAGTTTCTTTTATTTACGACTTACTTTCTTCGAAAACGATTAGATCTACTTGAGAATACTACGAAATTATCTTTTGATTAATCATTTCAGGTCTTTTAATCTGTAAGGTAATAACATTTTAGCATCATAGAATGCTTTTAGCGTTAATAATACTTTCAAATTTAATTGTTATAAAAAAAATATTGTCCCGGGTGAGGATCGAACTCACGACCTTAAGATTATGAGACTTACGCGCTACCTACTGCGCTACCGAGACAGTTGCGATCACTTTCCCTTCGTTTTCTTAATTTAGAACATAAACTTAATAAATTAATTCATAATTGCGTTGAATTGAAATGTATCGTAAAGTTGGAATGGTGCATATACCATGATCTAACTGTGAGGGAATACGTATAAAGAATGTTACAATATCGACTTCAGTTGTAATCCCTAAACTCTACCAAAGATGTCGCCACACATCAGATGTTAGTTTTTATATAGGATTTGTAAACTTGGTATGTTTGGTGTTGGTACCGTTGTCCGCCACGATCGTTAAATCATAGAGAAGTCAGAAGAGTTTGATATAAAGTGTCAGACTTGTTTATTTCTTCGACAATTTTAAAGCTGACATTAAATAAAATAATCAAAATAATCATGACTGACGCAGAAAGTTTAAAGGAAGCAATTGCACAATACGAACAGCAAGTGCGTACCAATTAACACGATAGTATCTTACGTTTACGGTTTGACTTATGCTGTAAACGATGATTTTTAATGTTTTAGCTAACTCAAGTTCAAGCAACTTTATCGACGACAACGGAAGAAACTGACAGGAATAATTTATTAAGTTTACAATCAGATATACAAGAACTAATTACCTTAACGAAAGAAAGTTTACAAAGCATTGAAATGGCTGATGTAGGGAACACGTCAAAGTTTGAAGATTCAGGTAACGAAGACGATGATCCATTGGCAAGAGAGTATGCCTTGTTTAAGGTGATTACAAAATTATGAAGAAAATACATACGAGAAATACGTAGGCATGATTTTGTTATTTTTCTTTTAGGCAGAACTGGAGAACGCTTCGAATGATTCTGAAAACACTGAGCAGGATAGACAAGACGGTGACTCCAATAAAATAGAAGTCAGTATTCAAGTATTCTATATGGCATAGCAATGACACAATTATACGGTGCAAGTTCATCTTGTAGGAAGAGTTGAGGCAGCTAGAAGGTATGAAATGTAGAGCTCCTCATGGTAGCAGTTGGGGAGGGATCGGTTATCATAATGCTATGGTATCCTCTGTTTATCAGAACGATGATACAGAAATAAAAAACATGCAAGATATAAAGGTAAGACAAAACCTTTTGGTAAAATTAAATTTAGATCTGTATTGTTAATTAGAACAAATATTTTAAAACATGTTTTAGAAAGACTTTTATTTGTACATCTTTTTTATGCGAGTTTAAATGCATGTGTACAATGTAACTATTATTTAGGTCAGGGTATTGTTTTTGAATCCGACACATAGAGAGATGCTTCCATGCCCTTACTACTTAGATGGAAGATGTAAATTTTCTGACGAGGATTGTAACTTTTCGCATGGAGAATTAGTACCATTATCTAGTATACAAGAATATAGGTATACAATTCCATTGATTCTTAATGGGTAAAATATATATAAAAATATATATACATATGTATATCTTCATTTGTAGAGAGCCAGATTTTCAAAGTATAAAAACAGGTAGCAGGGTATTAGCAAAACAAAAGAATGAATTATGGCATAGGTGCATTGTACTGAAAATACCAGATAAAGAAGGCGATCCCTTTCGGGTAAAATTCGAATCAAATGGTAATATTGTAGAGGTTTGTCTACAACATCTTTTACCTCTTGGTCAGTATCTGATAAAATACTTATGTTCTCATTCATATTCAATCGTGATATCTTTATTTTGTAACGTTTACTAAAATAGATGATGCAGATTTGGAAATGTCAGATACATCTGATGATGCTGACAGTGAAAGTGATACAACAGATTATTCCAGAGATCAAGTAATTCACAAATCGCTTCTCTCTGTAGAACATAATGCACCACTAGGAAATTGGGAGAAACATACACGCGGTATAGGTAGTAAATTAATGGCACAAATGGGATACATAGTAGGAACTGGTCTTGGAAAACGTGCGGATGGTAGAATAGAACCTGTTGAAGCAACAGTATTGCCAGCAGGAAAATCATTAGGTATAGTATTTCTATTATTATTTATAATATATAAATATCGTGAATTAAAAATATATCTTTTTAGATCATTGTATGGAACTACGAGAAAATGCAGGTGGAGACAAAAATTTGTTTTCTGTGGAACGCAGAATGCAAAAACAACAACAAAAGTTAGAACAACAAAGAGAAAGGCAGTACCAAAGAGAGAAAGAACGGGAACAAAATAATGTATTTAATTTCATAAATTCAACTTTAGGTGATAAACGTATGTTCATAGAATGTATTTAATTTTATCTTATTTTGCATACTATAAATGTTGAATTACATCTATAAACAATCTCTTGCAGCTAAAATTGAAACACAAAACACCATTTCAAAGAATAAAAATAATCTTAAGACAGAGACAAATCGACAACTGAATGTAGCAAGTTTCCAAATTGGAGAAAATATTTTAAGATTAGAGAAAGAATCGACTAAATTAAAAGAATCATTGACAAAACATGTAAAGGGAAGCGTTCATTATAATAACATCGCGATGAAGTATAACGAAAAACAAAAAGAACTTGTTGGTCTAAGGGCATCCCAAAAAAGTATTACTGCTGAGCAAGATCAACGAAAAAGCCGAGCTAAATTATCTATATTTTGATGTACATACATTTACAGTTTTATCTTTCCACAACTTAGATTATAAAAAGTGTTTACCAATATGTAAAAATAAATAAATAAATCTTACAACTAACATATTTTTATTCATAATTTTTACCTTTTTGATTCAATAATGTTTCAAGATTTGTTCTACACATATTGACTCATTGGTTCGACAAGCTTGATAACCAAAAGCAACATGCATACGCGTGTAAAATATTAAAAACACCGTACGTATATACCCAGTGATCTTTTATTTCGTGTACCTCCTATTCATTACATATTTTTCTTTACTACTTATAACTGCTAAATTGAAAATGCACCATAGAGGAACAAATCTATGTTAAAATGGGTCTAACAAAATTAGTTGAACTGCGTAAAATCAGTATGTTTTTTCGCTGAACATGCCAAATATGAATGTTATTTCTTACGAAATATTTACTAATAAATATTAACATGGCGACGTCCAGTGACAAGTACGATTGTATTATTAATTCTATTATATTACCTTATTAAAACAAAAGTTACATTCATACTTCTTTTCTATATGTACATGAATTAAAATAGATATTATTTCAGAATTGAAGATTGTGAAGTATGCGGTGCGAACAAAGCAAAGTACACGTGTCCCAAGTGTGAGGTTAGGACTTGTTGTCTTCAGTGTGTCAATATTCACAAAAAGGAATTAGAATGTGATGGCATTCGAGATAAAACGAAGTTTATACCATTAAAATCATTTACGGACTTGGATGTTTTAAGTGGTAATTTCTGCAAAATATATGTACAATATATATCTATTTATTTATTTCATGTATTTTTTAGAAATAATAATTGTTACTTTATAGATTACAGACTTCTTGAGGAAGTTGGTAGAACAGTAGATCAATTAAAAAGAGATCCATCAAAAAAATATACACGTCAAAATAATTTGCCACTGCATCTGGCTAAGTTAAGAACAGCTGCATTTAAAAGAACAATTAATTTGCAATTTATGCCACAAAATTTTAGTAGACACCAAAATAATACCACATTTTTAAATTGGAAAACTAACGACTTATATTGGAGGATAGAATGGATCTTCCCACAAGCAGAACATACAAAATGGGTAACTGAAAGGTAGAATTTTTTGACATCTATATAAGTAATATATTATACTTACTTGCATAACCAATAATATTATACTGATTATAGGGCTCTAGAGACTACAAGGTTATCAATACTTATAGAGGAAATTTTGAATCCTATTAATTCATTAAAAGATAAAAACGATGTAGAAGAATTAAATTTGAAAATGCGTTTAAATGATAGATTACAGTATTATCAAGCAGCTGGTTTAACTGGGATAAAAGTTCTTTTGAAAGCAGAAAGGATTATAAAGTCAGATTTAAAGTAAGCATACTTTAATTTTTTATCTACAGAATATTAAATATTAATTAACAAATTACTATGTATTAGGTTTTATGAATTGGATGTTACATGTTCCTTGCAAGAAAATCTAGAAAATAAGACTATAATAGAATTTCCAACAATATATATAATTTTGAAAGATCATTCATGTACATATGAAATTATAGATACTGGTATGCTATTCATTTAGTTCATTATTACAATTAACATTTCCATAAGTTTAATAATATATTAACAAATATTTTAGATGATGAACTTACCTGTGATGCACAATGTGAAAGTGATAATAATGTACTAAAAAGGAAAAAACGAAAATATAACCAAATCGACAAAAAAGAAAAGAAAGCTTCATCCGTGAATTATTTCTTTAATTCCGGTACTTCGGAATCCGAGGACGAAAAAATGAATGACAATCGAAAGACTGAACAGTTATCGGATTTTAACATACCATATTACAACGATTTAATTAAAGCAGAGCAATAAAATGCTGTGCATTGTATAGACAAACAAGTTAGAGGTAAATTGTTATTTTTAATTTAATGAATGAATATACAAATACAACTTTTTTATTGTAAATATAATGTACTTCAATATATTAATACAACTGAATGATGTACAAATGTAACATTAGTGACAATGCAGAATTAATGTAACAACCTCATTGGTTCCCTTTCCAAAAATATAAATATATAACCATCTATACTTCAGAGAATAATACAAGCACAAGAATAAATATGACTTACTTCGACTTTAAATTATTTAGAATTTTGTAACATTTACAAGGTACATATAAAATAAAAGTAATACAGCTTTAAATAAGCAGAAGAAAACAATAACGATTCTCACAATTCATAAATAAAATAATAGTAACGGTTCGATTAATAATATAATATAATTGTAGCTGTACATATTGTCTTTTAATTTTATGAAATTGTTAGCATGATTTTTTATTAACTTGGATTAAAGATGATGGTACATTAGAGTCAGTATATAAACAATTGTTATATTTATTACGTGACGACATACGATAATGTGTATTGAACAGCATCAACACCATTATATTCCTTGTGACTAGTTTTTTCTCTGAATATAACTTATGTACATTGTATTAAACTTCAATTAGGCTTAAAAATTAAATACATCATACCAAAAAGTAAATTCATAGGAAAAGTATTTGCTAATTTTGAAAAGACAGAGCAGTTAAAAACTTCGGTAGTCTTTACACGATAATAACAAAATTTGATAAATTAATTTGAACAACTAAAGAATGAAAAAGTACAGTAGGAAGACCAAAAATGCAACAAGTCCAGCCACAGCTTTTACATACATTGACTTTCTATTTAAATGAGTGGCATCTTTTTTGTATTTTTGTGATAACATGGACAGATTTTGTGTTTTTGTATCTAATTCTGTAAAATAATTTGTAACATGATAAAAATTATTTCTAGAATGAAAAACAAATTTTTAGTTAATAATAATCTGCAATATTACCTGATAGAACTGTACCCCTTTGCAAGACATCATCTATATTTTGAACCATAATTCTTTGCACATCTTGCAACTGAGTGTTAAGTGCATTCATGTTTCTTCTTGATCTACCATCCAGAAAAACTTTCTTTGCTTTCTGAATGTATGTATCTAGACAAAAAATCGTTCTTTATCAGATATATGGTAAAAAATATTATTGATATTAAAAAATGTAAATGCATACTGAATTCAATAAAACTATAAGGCCTGGTAACTGTGTTAACACGTTTGCCATACAAAGAATGAAATTCTTGTGCTATATCTTCAAGATAACTGTATGCCACACGTTTACTGTAATTCCTTTCGCACAATACCAAGTAACATATTTCATTTTCAATTAGATAACTGTAAATTAAAAAAATTAATAATTAATTTTTGAGAAACATTTATAGTTATGTTATAGGTATGAAGCAAATTTACTGGAATAAGTATGGGCCTGTTTCTATAGTACACCTAGCTGGAGACTGAGGTCCCAATTTTCTAAATAACATCTTTGCTTGATTCTGATATTCTAAAATACTTCTTCCACTCTGAAAAAAATTGATAAAATATTTTTAATTACTTAACGAATCATGCATATAATATAAATTGTAAAAAACACAATTATTTAATATTATATAAAGTATATATTATAGAAGAATAAAATGAAAAAGGGAGATATACACATTAAATAAAAATCAATTAAAACATGTATAATTACACAAAAATATTATAATCAGGTATTTTGATAATGAATATTAATAAACTTATACGATGAGATATGAATTAACTCAATCGGATGTAATTCGAACAATTATTTATAAGATGTTGATAAAGTTAAAATCAAATTGACATTTCATCATAACAGATTTCTAACCTGTTCATCTTCTTGCATAGTAGCCGCGAGTGGTAAACCGTCTGCTATTCTCGCAATCATTGTTAATAACACCATTTTTTCAAAAATTAATTTAATTTCTTATCGGAAATATAAAAAAAGTTAAAATTTCTGTGAAAGTGATGAAACTTCACCACCTAAAATCCATTTACACTAAAGTGGCCACCGTGTGACCGATTCGTCAAACATCCAGTCTTGGCATACCACGTCAGTTCTCGTGGAACATTTTGAATCTCCATCGAATATATTTCAACTATGTCTTCCCTCGTTATTAATTCTTTTCATATTACATTACCAACTTAATTTCGAACGTTACAAAGTATATTGCGTCATTAATGTACATGTATTGTATATTATAAATAAAAAGACATAACAAAATAAATGAAAATAAATAATAGATCATCTATTAACTTTTCTGTTTTGTATTCGAAGATAATTTTTTATTATATTCCTGTATATGATACAATTTTAACAAAACTTTTTTTTTTCAGTCAGCATTCAATTTAATACAATAATCTAATATTGCGAAAAAAATAGTTTTAACATTTTTACAAATATTATTTTGCAATGCATTATTCGTTCAATAAAAGATCATACCCGATTTGCGTAAACATAACTAATTTCAGTAGACTCTTCATTACTGATTCATAGGAATGAGTGATATTCTACGACCGTATATTTTTCATTCTATTGGTTATATACACGGTACACAGAAATATCTGCACAGAGAAAAATTAACGAGTGCAACAACTAGCAAAATGAAGATGGCGGATGGACCCACGATCCTTCGAAGAAATAGGCCTGGAACAAAAGCAAAGGTTGATAAATATATGAATTTTGATCATCATTTGTCCTTTTTATAATTTATGTATCGTTATTTAACAAATGTTTGGTTATAAGCATCGTACTTGCAGAAATATTTAAACGCGTTCTTGATGTGCATCTATTGGAAATCAATGCTATGAAAAAAAGCGATTGTTTACACAATGATATTTTAATAATTGTTTACACTTTATTAATGTGCAAATTATTCATGACCTTTAACATAGTTTTTAGGTTATTTACTTTTTAAGTGTATTATATTTTTGTTTTACTAATAAAGGTTCAGAGTTTGACAGATAAAGATACAATATGTTTTTATTATACCACTAGAATAAATACTATAATACAATATTCAGATCTTGGTTTCCTTGTATCTTAAGTCTTATGAAATTGAAATATTATGCATTTAGGATTTCTGTAGGTGGCCAGATGAACCATTCGAAGAAATGGATAGCACGTTGGCTGTGCAGCAATATATTCAACAGATGATTAGAAAGGATCCATCCAATGTTGACTTGATATTAAAAATGCCAGATGCACAGGATGAAGCTGTATGGAAGTACGAGCATTTGAGACAATTTTGTATGGAATTGAATGGTTTAACAGTAAGATTGCAAGAAGAATGTTTTCCGGTACAGTGTAGTCAAATGACGGCTACAGAACAATGGATATTTTTGTGTGCTGCTCATAAAACACCTAAAGAATGTCCAGCTATTGATTATACAAGACATACTCTTGATGGTGCAGCTTGTTTGCTTAATAGCAACAAATACTTTCCCAGCAGGTACATGGATAAAACATTATTTTCAAAACTCGTATAATACACAAATTGGTTACTGCACAAATATTATACGCATATCCACTTTTAGGGTGAGTATTAAAGAGTCTTCAGTAGCTAAGCTTGGATCTGTTAGTCGCAGAGTTTATAGAATTTTTTCTCATGCATACTTTCATCATAAGGCAATATTTGATGAATTTGAGAATAAAACTTTCTTATGTCGCAGGTAAAATAATTTATTAAGCAAATCTGAATACAAATGTTTTTAAATTAATTTCTTTTTATGCAGGTTCACAGTATTTGTGACAAAGTACAGTTTGATGTCAAAAGAGAGTTTAATAGTACCAATAATGGAAGAAGATGGAACAACTGAAAGTGAAGCCTAGAATTTATTGGTAATTCTGATATATCATTCAAATACTTGTAGTTCCAAACATGACAAGAGCATTGAAAAGGTTCAGTACCTAATTTATCTAACATGTTCTTGATTGCGAATAAATTTTTTAATGGAAACTCATTGCAATTTTTCAACAAATATTTCTGTGCTTGATAAATATTTCTCCACAAAATATATAAGATAAAATTTGTGAACAGTGCACTTGAACAAATTTTTACTAAGTGTTCATTTAAACATATTATTCATTTTGTAATTTAATGACTCTATACCTTTTTTTAGATACTGAACTTATTCTTTATTCTTTAACACGAAAATGCTCATTTTTATATACGTATTACTTCGACATATATCTTATTTTCTTTTTTTTGATATTGTAAATTTGTATAAAAGTATTTGATTATATTTTTACGAAAATTCATAATTGCATTACAAATTCTGAGAAATTTCTTTTGAAATCAAATATATTAGTAAATTAATCATAATTATTTTTGTTTTCAATATTAGAATAAATCTTGATAAGAAAATAAATCCATCTGCCGTACCGATATCAACTTGTTATAATGATGAAGCTGTAATCATCGGGATGTAGCTAAACCAAACAGATACTTATATATAATATAAATATAATCACTATATATTAATAATAATAATAAAACTTGTAATATCTTTATTTATATCATATTTATCTTGCGTGTTAATAAATTTAAGATTTTGAATTTTTTCCAATTACAGCATACAGTAACATACAATCAGTTCAAAGAAGTTAAACTTTTATTGTCTAAGATGTTAATACTTTGATAGCCATAAGCTTCATAAAATTTGTGACTGTTGTAATTTTATGTGCCTTTTTATATCTGAACAGAGCCTATCGGTAAGATTGTATTCGTATAGTTCCATTAATGTAAGCCGTAAAATTACAAATTTTTAAATTACGATTGATAACTGCTAAACTTTGTGAAAATGGATTAAAGGATGATGATATGAATCGAATCAAACTCAGAAGTATGGTCATCAAAGTGTTACGCATAAAAAGAATAATAGTTTTATCACTTGTTTCGGTACTTATACTTTCAAAAATAAGACTAGAGAATACAGATAACCATTTTGTATTAATTTTAATTATTATAATTAGCGTCGTTATACATATTTAATTGAAAGTATTCTCTAGATTTCTTATTGAGAAAAGCAATATCAGTATTGGAATATTATCTATACTACTGCCGAATATTGCTGCAATAAATAATTTTCACCAGCAATTAATATAACGTTAAAAAAATTAAGACTACTGTTAAATTTGCAATTTATTATTTTATCGTTATATAAATTATATTCACTTTAAATATAAATGTTTGTAAGCTTATACCAATTTGATACAAAATTACCATGCAACAAAATTAGATTTTCCATTTGCATTAATGGTAAAAAATATTACAAAACATTTAGTTCCATTTAGTAACCATTTAACGCGAGTAGTCTTTTCTAACAATTTGCAATCGATTTTCCATAAGATACACTACTGTAATTTTCATAACACACTGTATTTGCAATGTCTATTCATACCAATTGTAATACTGTATATATAATTTGTAAATAAGAAACAAAAAATGACATTCGACTAACTAAAATCAAGACCACATTGTGTGTGATTCTTTCTGTAACAAATATACATGTATTGACGAAGAATAAACTTTCTATTTAATATCAATATTTGTGCTATTTAAGTACACATAGTTAAGGAATAAAGTAAACAATAAAAGCTTTTTGTACAGTTCGTTTACAATATAATTTACTTATTTTACTTTCGTTATTATTCATCCTTTTCTCTCCTCTTATTCTTTTTAGGTGGCGCTTCAGCTTGTTGCTCTCTTTTTGGCCTCTTTTGACCGGTCCTCAAACCCATAGCTGCGAATTCCTCAGCGTCGATACAGGACGTATTAGCACCTTCCTGTCTCACACTTTTTTTCTTATCCTTTGCATCTTCATTGTTCACAAATTCTCCACAATCATCCGGCGCTTGGTAACTATGTTTTATATTATTAAAAAACAGGATATTAAATTAAAACTAACAATAAAATTTGTTACCCAGGTTCCGATGTATCCTTTATCTCCTTCGCTAATAGAATGTGTATTTCTGGTACGTGGCGATTTTCTGCATTCAAGTCACCCTTGTTCTCCGTTTTCGACTTCTCCGACCTGCAATTTATACGTCACTCAACAAATATAAGCCTATGCACCTTATATTGATCAACTCACTCTATATAACGTAATTTGGTAATCTGATGAAGATTTCCTTGTTTCTTCTTGAAAATCTCTGCACAGGAAATAGCTTTTCCAATGCCTTGACCTGCGGCGGTCCAAATAACGTTATTGTACTTCGAAAATTCTTTCAATGCGTACCCCAAAACATTTCTAATCTTCGTGCCAGTTTTCACCTAAAATACTGCAAGTTAATGATAATACTGATGTTTGATATTTTTTTTATCAAGACGCAATCTTACGCGCATCAGAAGATACTTTTCTGGCAAATTTGGTATGGGGATGTTTGATTCTGCTGGTTCATCCTTTATATTCTTCGTCCATTTCTTTCTCTTTAACTTTGATTTACCCATCTGAGGAGAAAATATTTATTTATGAATCATTTAAATTTTTCAAATTATCAAATTTCCTTTTGAACAGTATATTACATTCAATAATGTGCAAACTGGTAGTTCCAGTTTGATAATTAATCAATTATATTTTTAATAATTGGTATTTTAATGCGTCTGATTGCAGATAGTCAACGGAGTTAAAGAACGATAAGACCACGTTCTTCTAGCAGTAGGTCATGAGTTCACTCCATTGGCGTGTCACCGCTGGAACCATTCATGGAACTTGGAATGGCCTCGTACAGTCTTGGACATAAAGATTTTCCGACTCCGTAGTTCATCTTCCTCTATGAAGGAATGCTTAAGTGTTTACGACTTCCTAGACTTACTGAACTTGACCTTTTGTTACGTCAAACCTTTGACGTTCATCATTTTATCATTTTTCGCAAAAATTTTCATTGACCAAAGACTAACTATTCATTCCGCTTTTTACATCTCTTACTGCATCTCCACTCTGAATAAACTTAAAGTATGAATAAACTTATACGAGACGTTCCTTGTATTCTTAAACGGGAATACCTCTTTTATTCATCCTTGTTACGAGTTTAGTCAGTGGAGGTATGAGATAGAGATTGAAGAATGAAACACAGAGACAACTTAGCAAGAAAATTATAAATGAATGAATCACTCAGAAAATAAATAGCTCAAATACAATTGTCTACGATTCTAGGATTTTATATTGTAGTTTATCGCAGTTACAGTGATGCCATTAGTTCCTCTAATTTCACGTCGATGATCAATTAATATCAACGGCAGCCAAGAAGTGGGACGATCTCTCGAAAGTTGGCTCGATATAATTTCCGGAATTCCGAGGCGAGCTTGGAAAAAGCATCCGAGGGGGGATGAAGCCGCACAGGGAAAGTCCCATCAATATTTTCCAATCAGCATTCGATTGCATGGTACATCCCTTCTTCGTACGGGAACCGAGCCACGGGGTGTGTTAAGGGGGTCGCAGTGTAGGCGTATATGGTGGTGGTATGCGGCATAGCCGGCATAGCGCCGCGACTCTCCGTCGCCATATTGCATTATTAAGCACCCCAGCCAGTCCCTCGTCCCTGCATTCCAGCATTATGAACGTTTTTATCCCTAAAGGGCGTCGTTTTACCTATGCGAAACGAACTGCTCGATGAACACCACTTGGCTACTTTCGGTTCGTTGAACTATTCCATTGACAAGTTGACTGATCATCTCCCTTTAGGCTCGTGTGTGCTCAACCGTTTCTCCCTTTACCCTTTTGCATGGAAACTGTGCGCTAAGACGGGGGACAATTGGATGTTCGTTATTTTTGAAGTATTGTAGAATTTTCGTAGGATGCATGTGGCAGAATTCTCTAGGGAAACGTTTTAACGAATTTGCTACTTTTTATGGGTCCTTAGACTCTTTAGGTTGCCAAAGTGTTCCCAGGGTTTTTTCAAAATTGGAGGCAAACGGTAACCTCCCTTTTCGTTCTCCTTTAACAGCCCACATTATATTAAGTATGTAATTAGTGCAAGCCTTATGTGGACTCTTCTGACTTCACAGATAAAGAATATAGATAAATACATTTTATGTACAAAGTACATGTAGTGCGTCCACAATAAAGTCCATAATAGAAATGTCCCGGTAGACATCGTCAGACGGTAGCACCTTGTAAGATCAATATCGTTTAAACATTTCGGTGTCCAGTTTCTCTTGTTCCGTGTTTACGAAGTTCGTTCTATGTTTGCGAGACGTGTCGCAAGTAATCACACCATTGTAATAATAGTGTCTCGACTTCATGAACATTAGCGAAAGACAAAGAAACGTATTAAGTAGCAAAAAAGCGTAGTCAGAGGGTTGATCGATCGGCCAATTCCGAAGACCGTCTCTAAACGCTGGTTTTTATAATTCGATCCTGCGTATTATTTGCCGAAGAAAGAATCTAATTTAATGACCGCGAAGACGTTCATTTAGTCGGTGTAAAAAGTACAGCGTAGAAAGGTCAAGGATTTCGACCACTTTTGGTACACCATCTTCAGGTTCGAGCAAAGCGGGGACATTCTGCGTCTGACACCTCCTTAACGATGCCTACGCGGCGTTCTTTTCCCACCGTAATAAACCATCGGGCGCCGCTCTTGGGAGCTCGACTTCCAATTTGTTCGAGTGGGCAACTCTTCTATGGCGGAGATGCTCGGCGATTTCATCGCGAAAGACCCCCGTATCGACAAGTTTTCTCCATGAAAGAGAATTCTCTGTTCCAGTCGTTCGTATGAATATTTCCCAGTCGATTAGGCTACAGATTTCCAAAGTTTTCAATTTTCCGTCTGTTACGAACCTGAAGAATCCCCCGTTAACCATCTCCCTTAGAAATTGACGGACCAAAGGGAGAGAGAGGAGGCAACCAATTGCATCATTTTTCGTAAGCACCAAAATTTTATTCACCCTCGAGGACACCTGTCGTCGAACCTCACTCTTCGCATTGCCTCATTGGCAACACGTGTCGCTTTCAATAAACCTCTGTCTAATTCAACATTATTATTATCAAGGTCATTGATCGAACAGCGGAGGTGAAGGAGACAATTGTTACGAATTCAAGGAGCAACAAAGATGAATTCACGAAGAACCAGACGGTACGTCAACTGTTCCCTTGATAGAAATTATCTGGAGGCGTACATAGATCGGTCTCTCCCGCTTGTCCTTTCAAGGATCGCGACCAAGATCCCGCGGAAGGACGCGTTTGCGCAGGAGTCGAAGAATCTCCGGAGGCTGGATCCTCGATATATCCGTGCTGGTTAGCGAAACTCCGGATTGTTCAGTCGTGGCTCATCCAACGTAGACCGATTCGAACTTGCTAGCAACAGGTAGGGCCCTCCGCGTGGCCATTTTATTCGAAGTTTGTCAGGGAGCAGTGAAATTTAATAGAGTTTGTACGCAAATTATTATTGTAAGGGAGTAGTGTTTGTGATCTATTTAGGTGCGCTTAGTGTTAATCTTGGAGTGAGTCAGGCATATTTGAAAGTTAGACTTGTGATCATTTTGTGGAATTGGGTCTGTTGGAATTTTGGTGGTATGACTGAGAGTTACATTGAGATTACATTCTTTAGGGGGTGTTTGAAATTGTGGACAAAATTTTAAATATTCTTGTTAGCACAAAAAAGACACTTGCCTCGTACAAATTTGCAACTTTCTATTTTCTACATTTCCAATTGCACAAATTCTCAAATTACAAAGTTTCTAAATTCTCAATTCTCCAAATCCATAAATCCTCAATTTCTAACTCTAAATTTTTAAGTTTGCAAGTTTCCAAATTTCAAATCACTGAATCCTCAAATTTCCAACTCCACAAATCCTCTCGAAGAAGCAATGTTAGAAACAGAACTCTTCTGTTCCAGAATTTTCCACAAATCTCTGAAGGCCGAGTTAAAATAAAGAGGAACATGGACATTCAGGAGTTTCGTGTGCGCGGAAAGGAAATGGTGGAGTACATATGCGAGTTTATGAGTAATATCCACAACCGGAGAGTAACGCCGGATGTCGGTCCCGGATATTTACGACCACTCCTCCCCTCGGAAGCACCGCACCAACCTGAATCTTGGGAGGACATCATGAAGGACGTGGAGTCAAAAATTATGCCTGGAGTAAGCGAACTAAGGAATTTCAAGATGTACATTTAGAATGTACATTATAAATTCGAAAGAAATCATTTTCGCAGATCACTCATTGGCAACATCCTCGATTCCACGCTTATTTTCCAGCTGGTAATTCATTCCCATCCATTCTTGGTGACATGTTGGCGGATGCAATAGGTTGTATCGGATTTTCATGGGTGAGAACAAATAGTTTGTCGCAAAGATTTAACGCTTCGTCGATCTTTCCCGTTCAAATTAGGGTGTGAACGTGGGTCAAGTTTGACGGATTGATCCAGGCCATTGTTTGCTCGATCATCCCTATATTTTGTCATTTTATTTGTTCTAGGCGGCCAGTCCGGCCTGCACGGAGCTCGAGACGATAGTCTGCGAATGGTTCGGTAATTCAATGTTATTTTATTAAATATGACCTGGATGTTTGGTAAACATTAATATTAGCGATCAATCACGATTGAATAAAAGAAGAATTACTTTAGATCGAATCATTATATTAGATCGCTGCAAATTTTTATAAAAACAATATTCACAAATATTGAAAACTGAAAATTTCAGGCAAAGCCATCGGTTTACCATCGGACTTCCTCTACTTTAATCCAGGCAGCAAAGGCGGAGGTGTGATACAGGTAACACGTTCAACGTCAGAAGACAGAGAGAACACAGTAAATTTTAATTGAACTTCAGGGTTCAGCTTCGGAGTGCGTATTGGTGTGCATGCTTGCCGCGAGAGCTCAAGCGATCGCTAGGCTCAAAGAGTCACCTGCTCATGCACATTTGGACGAAACTGCACTTCTTGGAAAACTTATGGCCTACTGTAGTCGTGAAAGTCACAGCTGTGTTGAAAAAGACGCGATGATATGCTTTGTGAAGCTGCGAATTTTAGAACCCGACGAGAAGAGCGTGCTGCGCGGAGAGACTTTGCGTCAGGTATTGTAAAATGGGGTGAATAAAATTAGACACAAATGTAATGAGTACAGTATAAGCAGTAAATTTCTAAACTCAAGCATCAGTATAAATCGAAATAATTAATAATAAAATTTTTATCAGGCAATCGAGGCTGATACCGCAGAAGGTTACATCCCCTTCTTCGTCTCAACCACCCTAGGCACAACTGCTTGTTGCTCCTTCGACAATCTCAGGGAGATAGGACCAGTTTGTAGGAAATATCCAGGCGTAAGACCACTAACAATTTATCGGTTTTAATTATTACTTGAATCAAGAACACTAATATCTTTTTTAAAGGTATGGCTGCACGTGGACGCAGCATACGCAGGCAACGCTTTTATCTGTCCCGAGTTGAAGTACCTGATGGCTGGCATCGAATACGCCGATTCTTTCAACACCAACACGAACAAATTTTTATTGACGAATTTCGATTGTTCCTGTCTGTGGGTTCGAGATAGATTCAAACTGACTAGCGCGCTAGTCGTCGATCCACTTTATCTTCAACATACTCATGCGGATACTGCCATTGATTACAGGTGTCATCTCCTCTTCTTTTGCTTTTTCAAACTTCACAGTCAACTTTCTTATTTTATATCATGGAATTTATTAAATTTCAAACTGATATGATGTACGTTTTCTGATCGATATGACAGACGTATTGTTTTATGTCGTCAAACGGTGTCAGGGTAGATATGTTTCGAAACTAGTTATCAAATATAAACTGTTCACAGACATTGGAGTATACCATTGAGTCGACGATTCCGTTCTCTGAAACTGTGGTTTGTTATGAGAAGTTATGGAATAGCCGGCCTGCAAGCTTACATACGGAATCATATTCAACTAGCGAAGAGGTTCGAGGCATTAGTCAGGAAAGATGCGAGATTCGAAGTTTGTAACGAAGTTGTGGTACGTGCCCGTATTTACCGAGCTAACTAGGTTATTTCTCAAGCAGGAAAGAGTTGTTTCCTCCTCGCATATGTAACATACTGTAAACGAGGCGGTGTTTGTCTTGCATAATAATATCCACATCCATAATAGGGGTCCGCATGTTATCCTTAGAGGAATCCTTTAGCAAATTCCATATTGAATTAAATTTTCCTATTATTTAAAAAGAATTTAAGAAATCTAGCTTGCACAAGCACTAGCATAGATGGCTTCCTTTGTTTAAAGAAGAGACAAGGGCTGAAATTTGTTCAAGATCAAATTATGAACGTAAACGAATATTAGGCAACCTACGCCTTTTCTCTTATTGAAAGCAGCCATCAATGCACGCGAATGTACACCTGTAACTCTGTCAACGCATGACTTCCTTCATATAAACGTAACAATTTCAGTTGGGTCTGGTATGTTTCCGAGCCAAAGGTTCCGACAAGTTAAACCAAAAACTACTGAGTACCATCAACGATTCCGGGAAACTGCACATGGTGCCAGCGCGAGTGAATCAACGTTTTACGATTCGTTTTGCGCTCGCCGCGCCGAATGCCACTGCTTCTGACGTTGGTAAATAATATTTCAATTTTACGATAACAATATTTTTGCGTCTCTCCTTCAATCTTTATTTCTGCGTTTCAGACATCGCGTGGAGCATCATTACTGATTACCTAGCTGAATTATTGGAGTCCAAGGTGAATGGTTTCATTCCATTTTTTGTAGGCTACTCGATATTCAAGATATTCATGTTTTTTTTGTTATGTGTTAGGATGTTATGGACGAGCTGGCGGATATTCGCGAGAAGAAAAGGAAAGCCACCCTGGAGCAGAGGAGGTCCTTCTTCGTCCGCATGGTGTCTGATCCCGCTATTCAGCCAGGATTCACGAAAACCCCTAACAGGACGGGGCCGAAGTTAGACACACAGGCAACGATCGGTGGCATTGGTTCAAATCCTCATCCTACCACGTAAGATTTATTGTCGAGGGATTGAATATCGCTGAATATTTAGCAGAAATCACTGATCTGATACTTTTAGGCGCTCGTGGATTTCCTGGCCGTTGGCATATTTGATGCAAGCGAAGGACGCTGCTGACACTAGCGAACTGTCTCTTAGGTACTTGCAAAATATTTTTGACACAGTTCTCAGTAAACATCGGCTATAAGCGATTTTCATTTATTTCCGTACACGGAAGCAATTCGCTTTTGTTTATCGCACGGAGTAGCGAAATAAATAATTATCTTATCTCATTTTTCCTTTGATCACTGCAGAAGGTGTTTACGTGTCCTCCTTTTACTTCCATTCTTTTTATCAGGATATTTTAAGAACTCTTCAGCGATAAATAATATGAGCAAAATACAGCCATTAAGTTTCTTAAGTGCCAGGAACAAAGTGAAGGAAACACAAAGTGCTTTTGCATGTAATCTGAATTATTAGAACAATCGTTATTGTGACTAGGTATACAGAAGGTCTAGGTACATAGGAATTTACAAGGATGTTGGAATTTAAGGTCTTCAAGGATTTAATGATAGAGAGATCTAGTAGTGATATAACATTGAACTAAAAAATGAAATTAAATGAAACAAAGTACAGCATTTCTAAATCTAATATACTTCTAGATTCCGTCACTTGGATACAATGGTGCGTCTGAAGGCAAGTGGTACCGGAAGTCGCCGCGGTAGCAGCAACGGCTGCAGCCCTGAACCGTCGCCATCCGCTTCGCCATCACGCGGAAGATCGCCAAATGGCAGAGCGTAAAACAATCCCTGATTCTTCAATCTTTAACCAACGTTTCTCCCAGGTGCATCAACACACACGGACACTGCCGAACTCGAAGGAAGTGTTTGGAAGTTCTACAGACGAGGATCTTCGAAAAGATTTTTGGGACTGTGTGTATGTGTGTGTATGTTTGCGTGTATGTATGTAGTAACAGCAAATCGGTTTGTCCTCGATGAAATAAGCGATATAAGCACACCTAAGTCTAGCTCCTCGTCGAAAATTTTCGAGTTAACATATTTGATCTATAATTGAGAGCAATAGTAGGATGCGCTTTCATTTGTTCTTAGCCGAAGGAAATGTTGCACTCGTGTGTTCTTGCCTAACGATTTATATGAGTGTACAAGCTTTGAAATTGTGTTGTAGAACACATTCTACTTACTATGAAGTTCCCCTTGTCTTATGAATCACGACAGGCAGATAAAAAGAACATGAAACTAAAACTCGTGCTATGTGAATATCATACAAAAGGTCATAAAAGAGCCGTGTTCATTACGCTATCGAAAAGGTTGAGGTCACGAGGGTGACCGATGCACCTGGACTATTCGGTTTATTTGGTTAATATTTTTCTACTTTCTTCATGTTCCAAGTGAAATATTGTCACGCGTTCGAACGAATACGACGAATTTCTTGATTCAAAAATGTCACGTCAGAAAACAATGGAGTACAATCGGTTTACGTGGGAAGAGGAATGCTAATAATTCCTAGAATGTTCTCAATTAAACACGCTCGATAATTTCTTGAATAAAAGCAGTTACTCAATGGAGATTTAAATGTTGAATACCGATGTTGCGGAAGGAAAGCTAACGAGAAAATGTAATTCGTTGTTGTGACATGAAAGTTTATGAAAGTACTTGTCTGCATCTCTTTAGACTCTGCTCAAAAGAATTAGATGATCGCCTATTTGTTATGATATATGTAACGTTCTGAGATCTTGAGCTATTATTAAATCGAATTTGAATGGATAATTCAAAGGTGTAATAAAAAGTGAGTGAAAGATTCGTCTTATATGCGATCAATGTTAATATAATGTAATTTCTTCCTAATATATACTATCACTCAGAAGTCTGGTCATCTTCTTCTTTTTTATATTCACTCTCGTATTCCCGAATTATAAGCGAATTGGTATTATCAAGTTTATTGTTACAACGCGTGAAATTTAGGAATTTGGATTTGCATTTAATAAGCTTCCTCATGTAACAAATATTTGTTAAACATTTTTATTTCTTCAGAACTTTCAACTTCTTGACACATGCGAAAGTAGAATTTTGTCATTAAGAAAAGAGTACATCGACACTTTTTCTTTTAAACAAACATGTAAACTATCTTTTCTGTACATTATCAATAATTTAAAATTTATTTTGCTTAATTATAATCGATTCAAAGTAATCAAAATAAAGAAAAGATTCTCTAATTAAAAAAATTCGAGAAGAGAGTTTACAGGAATCGATGGGAAACAGAAAGTTCAGTAGTGAAGAATCAGTGGGGAGATTAATTAATTTGAACGTGGCAATGGTCTGGCCATCCTCGAATGGGAATCCAATTCGAAAACGTCGGACGCGAACAGATCATGCGTGAAGGTGGCGATCAGAGAGAAAATATGGTGATCGTCGGCTTTGCATATGTGTGTATGTGTTACAAAGATTGAGCGGTGACCTGTCACCGCTTCTACGGGGTGTTGTAAATGTAGGTGAAGAGTAAACGTCTATTTATAAACGGGGTAGGAGGGGGTGAGTTTACTCCCTGTGCATCATCGACAACACGCTGGGGCTTATTCAACCACCGACCCCATGATACATTGCCATTGATACCAACCACCCTCTCATGAATTTTCGGAAATCTGAACGAAACACCTCTCATCTGAGGGGTGAATCGGTCTTAATTCACGATTTCTCTTTAAATATTAATCTGAGCTTCTTATAAATAATTATACGGATTCGTACAAAAGAGATGTACGATTTTACATTCGGGATGAAATTTAAAAAGGTTGACTAGTCGAAGAAGTGTGTATTTGATCGTCGAAAGTGTACGAAATTTCTTTGACAAATTTAATAAAAATAGGTGTTCACGGAAAATAAAGTGAATTATAAAATAGTTGTATAATATAGCAGTAGAGTAATAAATTAAAATAACAGTACTGAAATGCTTGTATAAAAATAACTGCCTAATCTTTAACCTTGAGCAACCAAATAATTAGTAGCACCTTAAGAAAGTCGCAAATTATGCGGAAGATTATCAAGAAACGTTGCAACCCCCTTTTAATAGCACCGTTATCGGTAGGTTTTGTAGCTACGAAATCACAATGAATCAGGCAAATTAAAATTGTTCACGATTGTCGAAGCTCCGCCTTAATTGTATCTGGCCGTAGCAGGGATGTACAAAGAGGAGGTGCGCATAAAACTGACCGGCGCTTTGGCAGGTGCTACCAGTCTCAGCTCCAACGTGGGATAAACTTGTTACGCGTTTCTCTCCGTGATCGAGTCGCGTTCGAGGTACAATTTTTCCGCTATAATTCGATCGCAAAACCTCTTCGTACAATAACACAAACCGAAAGGAAACAGTGGGTGAACGTACTCGAGTTTTCTGAGTAATCCACCAATTAGTTTTCTTAAAAGTGTAAATCGGTCGTCATAAGAAAAGGTATTTCATCTAAAGTATTCACCGAATGACGTTCGTTTCATCGCATCCTCGATAAAAGGATACTGAAAATAATGTCACGATCACGTACAAGCAGTTGCTGAGAACGTGCTTAATCACAAACGAAATTCATTGCACGAATTAGCTGTGTCCTGCAACATTCCACCCGGCAATTATGAACATCGATGAGTTTCAAGTACGCGGCAAGGAGATGATAGAGTACATCTGCGAGTATCTTCGTACTCTGGAAGGGAAGAGGGTGACGGCGAACGTGGACCCAGGATATCTGAGGCCCCTTCTGGCCAAGGAAGCTCCGGCTAAAGGGGAGTCATGGGATGCCATTATGAGGGACGTCGACTGCAAAATAATGCCCGGGGTGAGTGAGTCAACTCGATTATCGATCCCTTTGTTCATCGATTACGACCTCTTTCGATATTAATAATATTCGCGAATACGAAAAAATAGTAAAAAACCCGCTCGACCGTGAATCGACACGTACCGTCTACTATCACCGTACATTCTTCTTTCGGTGCTTTAATTAATACGTTGTTTAGAATATAATACTTGTCGAGTTGATCTCTAACATTGAAATCAGACTTCCTTCGAAGCGTTAATGTCTCCCGTATTCCTTACTTAGCACATTTCGTTGATGTTTTCAAAACACGCGTTGGTTAATAAATAAGATTTATCTACACAATACGTGTATACATGAAAATGTATACGATTCGTGCTTCTTTCGTTAATTCGAAATACAGTTTCTCGAGTTATGGTAATTAATTTTCAATTTACAGTCAATTATTAATTGTTAGATCTATACAAAGATACTTGGTACTGCTAAAGTTTTAATACCTTTTCTTTATAAATTACTGCACAAATAACGACCTATAGCGATTTTAATATTCCTACAAAAATATAAAACATAATGAAGAAATATGTAGGTTATTGAAATATATTAAAATTTATGAGCGCATAACACAAGAATGTCGACCGAATTTCGCGACAGTTTAACCAAAATAAAAAAAGATATAGAAAAGGCACCCCAGGTAATCGCCCACGCAAGGGTTAAATATTGTGGACCCTAGAATCAGCAAAGGGACGTTTGACGTTTTTCAGATCACCCACTGGCAGCATCCCCGCTTCCACGCCTACTTCCCAGCAGGGAACTCGTTTCCCTCGATCCTCGGGGACATGTTGTCCGACGCAATCGGGTGCATAGGTTTCTCCTGGGCAGCCAGCCCGGCCTGCACGGAACTGGAAACGATCGTTCTGGACTGGTACGCCAAAGCGTTGGACCTTCCGCCGGAGTTCCTGTCGGAGCACAAAAGCTCGAAGGGCGGTGGAGTGATACAAGGGTCAGCCTCCGAATGTATTCTGGTCACCATGTTGGCGGCGCGAACCCAGGCGATTAGAGCGTTGAAGGAGCAAGACCCCAATACCGAGGACTCGGCCTTCCTGCCGCGACTGGTAGCCTACTGTTCCACGGAAGCTCATTCTTGTGCGGAGAAAGCGGCGATGATCTGTTTGGTGAAGCTTCGAATCCTGGAGCCCGACGATAAGGGTTCCTTGCGAGGTAAACGGCTGGAGACCGCGATCCGGAAGGACGTGGCCAACGGTTTAGTGCCGTTCTTCGTGACCACCACTCTGGGCACCACGGGATCGTGCGCGTTCGACAATCTTGTCGAGATCGGGCCCGTGTGCAAGCTGTACCCCAACATCTGGCTGCACGTGGACGGCGCTTATGCCGGAAGCTCCTTCATCTGCCCGGAGATGAGGCCGTTCATGGCCGGTATCGAGCACGCGGACTCCTTCAACACGAACCCGAACAAGTGGTTGCTGGTCAACTTCGACTGCTCCTGCATGTGGGTGCGGGATCGAGTCAAGCTGACATCGGCTCTCGTCGTGGACCCGTTGTACCTCCAGCACGCCAGGTCTGGAGAGTCCATCGACTACCGTCACTGGGGGATCCCCTTGAGCAGACGATTCAGAGCGCTGAAGCTGTGGTTCGTGTTGAGGTCGTACGGGATCACTGGGTTGCAGAAGTACATAAGGAACCACATCAGACTAGCCAGGCGATTCGAGACCCTGATGAGGAGGGATAAGAGATTCGAGATCACCAATGATGTCAGGGCAGGACTGGTCTGCTTCAGATTGAAGGAGAGCGACGAGATCAATCAAGAGTTGCTTGCGAATATCAATGCTTCCGGTAGACTTCACATGATACCCGCCAGAGTGATGGGTAAATACATCCTGAGGTTCTGCGTGGTCAGGGAGAACGCTACGGAGGATGACATCGATTATGCCGTTGACGTGATCGAGGAACACGCGACGGAGGTGATGCTGGCGCATTACGCGGGCACGGAGGAAGAATTCAGGGCGAAAGGACCGAAGAGTCCTGCCGCCCTGGACAAGAAGCTGGTGCGCAAGTTCAGCTTCACCAGGAGCGTCACCAGGGACGTGTACAAAAGATCCATCTCGAAGTCGAGTCTCCACGACGGCGCTACTCCCATCATGGTCGTCGACGACAACTCGCAGGTCGACACCATTGAAGAAGACGTGTTTTGCAACAGCAGGTAGACCGCACCTCAGCTCACGGTGCCCAAGAAGAGGGACCAGTTGCTATCGTTGCCGTGAGCTGCTGACGATGATGATAGGTGTAATGTTGTTTCAGGTCGTGACGATCCCGATGATGATACCCGGATGATTCGTGATTTGTGTGATCGGCCGTTCTTGTTTGGAATAATACAGCTACGTGAACACGTGTGCTTGTTTTTCTAAAGAACATTTTATTTAAAGATTAACGAAAATTGGGGACTCTTTAAATGCCTCCGATGTAGGGCATTGGTTAATGTTTGCGGCGGTGACAGAACTCTTGAAGAGGTTCGACGATAAACTTCTTCGAGAAGTTTACAAATCGTTCGGGAATTTGCCTTTCCACGCACGATTTTATGCAACGTAAGTTCAGCATGGAATTTATTTTCGTATTTTTTCCGCAATCGACCGGAACAACGGATTATATTTGCTGACCAATAACATTTTCTATAAACGGTACAGTGAATGCATAAGATTCCTTGCTTTTCAGAGATGCTAACACGTAATTTCGTATCGGATTTGGGATTATGAAGAAACTAATTATACATACGTAGAATCAATGTATAACCAATTTATCGATTCGTGTAACCAGGGCCGGCGCGAGGTGGGTTCAGAGCCTTCCGAGTATTCTGAGCTTGAAGCTTTTCAAGTTTGAAGGGTTCCAAATTTTAAATCCTGGAGAATTCCAAATTTGAGACATTCCGAGCTTCAGACATTTTGAATTTGAAACGTTTCAACCTTGAAACAAATAAACTCCTGGTCTTGCAGATTATGAACTTCATACACGTCGCGGCGACCCTGCGTGTAACAATTCAGACCATATTAAAAATGAATATGTAGTTATACAGAAATAAGACTTCACTATTAAGTACATCGATTATATCTTAGGATATCGAATAGTTGCGAGATTGAATTATTTAATGAACGAACTGTGTACGAATAAATGATATCGTTTTCGATTAGAGATACCGGAAGTAGATACGAACTAAAAGACCTAAGATTCATGGTTGGAATTTCTGTTCTTTTCGATCGACACCAATCGTAGAATTAGATCACATGTACCTATTTACCATGAATGTTTTATTTCTAAAAAGATATATTCGAGTTGTAAATGGTATTCAAATACGTTTGAATTTCTATCTAACATGATACAATATAGATTGTACAGTGAATATTTATTTCATATGTAAATTTAATGTAATAAAATTGAAGTTCGTAAAATGGTAACTGCTTTCATTTTAATTTCATTTGAAAAAGAATTTTTTCAACAGGTATTTATTCTATAAAAGCCATCGACTAAATTGAGCAGTTATTAAATTGGCAGCACCTGATAGGCAATTCCTGTTGATGAGAAATTATGAGACTCCTAGAGGCAATAGACTTAGCTTTAAGGCAAAAGAGTAATTAGTTATCGATTCGATACATAATTGTACTTCATTAGTTTAGGTGTATTAAAACTAAGAAAAGGTGTTCAATTAAAACTATGTTTAGTTCTGTAAAATATAGCATATTATGGTATACTTTACACAGTTGCTTATAAAAATATGTAGATTACAATTATTTAGCTATTACATTTGTCCACATTGAGATATTGTCACAGGAATTTTTGGTTTATTGTTCGGTCCAGTGGGAACATTCTCCACTTTTCTCATAACTAAAAGTCCATCGATAACTCTTCCAAACACAACGTGTTTACCATCCAAGAAATTACACTTGGCACAAGTAATGAAGAACTGACACCCATTAGTGTCTTTCCCACTGTTTGCCATTGACAACAATCCAGGTGAGTCGTGTTTCACCGTAAAGTTTTCGTCAGGAAAAGTTCCACCACCGTAAATACTTATGACTCCAGTACCATCTCCATTTACAAAGTCACCACCTTGGATCATGAAGTCTTTGATTACCCTGTGAAAAATGGCACCTTTGAAACCCAAAGGTACACCATCTTTCCTGTATTCTCCAGTGCAGAATTGACGAAAATTCTCTGACGTCTTTGGGCAAACATCCTCGAAGAGTTCAAAAATCATTCGTCCAATTTCCGTTGTACCCACGGAAACGTCGAAGAAAACAACCGGGTTATTTGGGTTTCGTAGTTGAGCTTGTATTTGATTCCAAGTAGGCATATTTGTGCGTTCTGTTTATAAACCTTAAAAACGTTCCTTATATTACTTTGGTATTGTTTATTTTCCAATTATCAGTCTGTTAAAGCGAAACAGTAGCGGCATAACCTCTTCAACGTGCGCGCGTAAACACTGTGCGTTTGAGGTTACAACTTTCGTTTTGAGATATGATTTTTACTTAATGTAATATATTTTAAACATAATTATTTACGTGTAATTATGATACACTTTTTCTTACACTAAGTTTAAAATTTATTGTTGTAAACATTGACAGAATCTTTCTTGTATCAACGATAATGGTGGGAGAAAATGATGAATATCAAGCATAGGTTAGTGTTTGATTTGATGTAAATGAAACATGTTAAATTGAAAGTAAATCATTTGGAAAAAATATGTAAAGAATTTTTATTGTTATATATGATAAAATAATCGGGGCTCTTCTTATTATAATATAGAAGATTTTTATAAGTAACACAGCGTGTTTACAAGATTTAAAATCACGTGTAATAGTATATTCTTGTTATTATTTTTTATATGTTAGTACTTACGTTTTCAGCAGGTGTTCAATGAAACTTGAAGCGTGCTTATTGAAATAATATTGCACATTATACAATAATAATTATAAATTGTGATTATTACTATTTATTTCACAAAATTACGCGCACTTGTATTTAGTACCGGTATAGACACGTGACTGTTGCGCTTGTTCCCTTTACAAAAGCGAACGAAAGTTGAAAATATTAAAGTTCGAATTAAAATCATGCTGGAATATCGATATAAAATAAAAGATAAATGTAGAAAATAAAATGCACTTTATTTTCTTATCGCACCTCATATTCTACATTTCAAATGCCATTTTGGTTTAGTTATAATTTACGTATTATAAATCGACTTAATTTAAAAGATCAGATAATTTGTAAAATTGTATTATAGTAGAACTACATAATTTTTAAGTAACCTTTTTACGATATGTAATTTTTTTTCTTCAAAACGACCAATAATGCGCTTTACATAATATAGAAACTTTGTTCTATAATTTTATTTTAATACATGTACATTGTTTTACCACGTGTATAGTATAGGATCTAAATGTGCAAAAGCGTTTGAGAAAACCGAAATTGATTAATTAAAAATGTATAAATATAATTGAAATTCTTTCAGTAATTGAAAGCTTTGTTTTAATATCAGTGCATTTTAAGAGACATAGAAAATTGGTGCTTCATTACTACTACTACTATCAGAAACAATACTTAAATATTTATGCTTAATATTTTTGTTCCAAGAACATAAGAAATATTGAAATTCGTTACTTCTTACATAGCCACAATAATAGCTTAATAATATCACAAACTTGGATAGTAATAAACTAACAATAATTATATATGAATTTTAACGTGTTCCATTAACACATTTTTGTCATTAAAATCTTCTCCGCAAATACCACAAACTAATTCCTCTTCTTCATCATCACTTTCATTTTGATGATATTGTACAACTTGTATTACAGCTGTCTGGGATGTTCCTTCTGATATCAATGATTCTTGTCCAATTTCATTATCATGATCCTTTGTATTCTGATCTTGCCTAGTTGAATGATGAGTTACCATATCCATAGGTACATCATTATTATTTATTTGTGCAATTTGACTGGAATAATCTTCATGGCTCTGAGGGTTTTGCAGTGTCAAAACAGGCAATGATTCGTTTTGTTTTGATATTAAGTGTAAAGTATTGCTTTGTTTTGAAGTTTGTATTAAATGCATTGTAGTTATTTCATTATGACCAGTAGCAGAATGAAGTGCACTTCTTTCTGATTCTGTAGAAGCTATACATGTGTTATTTTGTTTATCCATAGTAATCATACCTAAGGGATCTTTCTGATCAGTTTCTGAAATATGTAAATTTTCATCTTGTTTATCATCAGTTAATAAATCTGTATTTTCAGATTTAAATTCTGAAATTGATATAAAATCTTCATCATCTTTTTTTGTAACTACAAGAAAGGTATTCTGTTTATCATTTAAAATTTGATGATTATCTGACTTATCTGTGTCTGTAATAGACAAAAGTGCTTCATTTTCCTCTGTTTTCGAAATTATACAACTTCCAAGTTCTTGTTTCACTTGCAAGCCAGTTGTTGCACATGTTTTTGATTTCTTTTTAACTGGTTTTGTTTTTGGTGCATTATTGTTTGTCTTAGCTTTTGCTTCTGCTATCATTTGGTCAGAATGTTTAACGATATGTGCACATAATTCGTCCCGATCTTGACTCAAAGTTCCACATATAGGACAAGGAAAAGGAGGCCCAGTTGCATCAGTTTCATTTTTCCCAGCTGCATGAACCCAACGAACGTGTTCCCGCAGGACAACCTTCTGATTAAATGCTCTTGAACACAAAGGACAAATGTGAGGCCTTTCTCCTGTATGAATACGCTCGTGTTTCCTTAAAGTTCCACCATCTCTAAATGCTTTCCAACAAAATTTACAACCATATGGTCTTTCTCCTGTATGAGTTCGATGGTGTATTAAATATCCTTGTCTGGATGAAAATGTTTTAGAGCATGTGTCACAATGAAAATGTGCAGGACTTCCAGCATGTGTTCTCCCATGTTCCCAAAGTCCTTGACGAGATACAAAACTTTTACCACATTCTGTACAAGTAAATGGAGAATCACCAGGGTGTGCAGACAATCTATGTTTGTCTAATTGATTTTGTTTTTCAAATTGGGATCCACATACTTCACAAGAATGTGTCTTTTTCCTGTGAATCCATTGATGTCTGAACATTTTTTGTTTTGTAGTGAATTTTTTACCACATTCAGAACATGCATGTTTACACCATTTACTGTTAGGTGAACCTTGCTCTATATTATTTTGCATTAGCTTTTTTGCACATGTGGTTTGATGAGTTGCTAGATGGTTGTTATCCTGAAATTGTTTATCGCAATATTCACATTCAATTGGTATACTCCAATTTTTAGATAGGTGAATTTTTTCATGCGATACTAATGCAGTTGCACGGGCAAAACCGATTCCACAATATTTACAGTTGTGTGGCTTTGTACTATTTGTTTCAACTTCTATATAATTTTTTCTATCTTCACTGTTATATGATATAGTTTCAACTTTGATCATTGTATCAGCATTATTAAATGAATTCAATGAGATATTGTATTGTTGATTTACTTGATTATTTATACTATTCGGTTGAGAATATTCAAATTGCGTTACTTCCCCATTTGGCATTACAGTAAATTCATGTAAAGTATCCATTTTCTCTTGAGAACCTGATATTACATTAACTGTTGATTGTTCACTGTGAAAATTATAAGGGGTAACTGGCCAATGAACTGTATCATAATTTTGTACAGTTTGTACAGAGGAAGATGGCACTTCATTGTTTTGAGATTCAGTTATATTTTCAGACCATTTTCTAAAAGGTTCTTCAGACTGAGACACATTATTACTTTGTGATTGCATGATGGCACGTCCAGCAACATATGTATGAATTTTCATATGATTAGATAAACTAGAAGGTCTCTGAAAATCTGCTCCACATATGGTGCATTTATGAGGTCGCTCTATCTGATGTACTTGCAACATATGATATCTTAAATTACTCTTTGAACGAAACAAATTACCACAAGTTCTACAAGCATGTGGGCGATCTACTTGGTGACATACCATATGATTATTCAAATCCATTTTCCTTTCAAATCTTTCTCCACAAGTCATGCACGACAATTTAGTAGCGGTACAAGTAATATGATGCTTTGCCATTTCTGATTGTGTAAAGAAATTCGTGCAATTAGGACAAGATACTTTCTTATCCTCAAAACATGGGTACATTCCTCCGAGTTGTCTGAGAGCTTCTACAGCCATAGACTCATCATCACCAGATGTGTATTGCTGTTGTTCTTCCTGTTTAATATATATAGGATATACCACACGATTCTCATCTTCTTCATCGGAATGTTCCGTTAAAATTTCAACTGCAACTTGTGCCTCTGTAATACCAGCATTAACATCTGTAACGGATACTTCGGTAAGTCCTTCCTGAAGGACACATTCATCAACAGGTTCACATATTTCTTCATGAGATATAATATTATCTTGTATTCCATCATGTACCCCAGAAAGAGGAAATGATACATACTGTTCATTCTCATGAGTTTCCATTATATAACACTTTTACAAAATATTAACAGGTAATATGAAGCTAAAGCCTTATGGACCTAGTTTCACCTCATGTTAAGTTAGGTCCTGTCATCACTGATAATCAACCAGTATTCCGTGTAAACGTATTACACTGATCGAATTATTCACATCGTACTGTTACGATTCTTTAACAAACATCGTTGCTAAGAAATATAATGCGTTTGTCTCCCTGACACTGTAATTTAATCCAGCGTATTGTTACTTATTATTTTTATCGACTACAAGTAAATTATATTATAATTTTATGCTGTTCAAGTTATCTATGAAAGTAGATGTACATTATATCTATTCTATCACTGATGATTTATTTGTTATATAAATTTATAAATTCACCATTTGAACGATGGTGTAACAAGGTTATTTGTACAGGAGTACAGCAAATCGTGCGCCACCTGAAGTTCTCAACGTTTTTTGCGCAATACCAATGTTGAAATTTCGATACTTCGAAGGACTAATAAAGTTGATTCACAAATATTGCAACATTTGCAATAGTCTGTTACATTTATTTTAACAATTAGTTCATTATTTAATTATCATTGTTATTATCGTTTTAACTTGAGATATATACATATATGTACGATCATTTCAAATTATTCTTCGTGTTAAAAGTTAACGCATTGCAATTATTATTTTTACATAAAATAAGATTAATAATTAATTTAATAAAGTTGATATTATGTACAAGCCTTGTTCTTCACTTTTTTTGTAATTTTATATTTGAAAAAGGTACATACGCTGCCATCTAACGGAGAGGTACGTAATGATCTATAATTAAAAAAAGAGGAAAACTTCGGAATATGGACATTGATAATGGCAAAGTCGAAACATTCCAAAGTTAATTAGTCTTGCACTATAATGGAATTTGATGAATATTATAGCAAATTAAGGAAATAAAATTAATATTAATCGAATTGAACTGAAAATGTAGGTAAATGCTTTGGGGAAAAAAATGATATAGAACGTACATGGCGCCGCCTAGTGGCAGCGCGTGGAACTAACGAAGCTCCAGTTTCAAAAGTGTGTAGTTCACCCTGTTCGCCGGAGAGATGGCGCCACTTGTACCATTTTTATGAAAAACTAATTATTATCGATTTTATTGATTAAAATGCTATATACATATATTATATATTTTAATAAAATCGATTTTATGCTATCTGCAATATATTTCGTGTGTCTGACGATACAAATTATGTATTCGAAATAATTTGCATACAACACTGTGTCTCATCGGTGACGTAAGGAACGACACAATGTCACAAAATTTTTTCGAGCCGCCAAAAATCATTCTTACAATTTGATGACGTTTGCATTTGCTAATTTATATATATTTATTAACAGTGTTTCTAAATAATACATTCTAAAGATGTTCGTAAATAAATACAAAATTTGACAAATATGAATCAGACTTACATTTACATTAAGGACGTGAATACATGTTTCGTGCGATACAATCTCATTTTACTTCTAATAAAATTAGCTAAACATATGTTTTAAAAATTTATATCCCAATCGGAAGGATCCACAGGCGCCGTTTTGGAATCAGGAGGAAATCTATCGAAGTTCCTCATATCGAGATAATGTTTTACCTAAAATAAAATAATAAAGTTACGTACTTAATTTATATCTATGAAGATGATACTTACTGTTATCGTAATCGGAGAGCGCATTTTTTGACGTTGCAATGCCTGCCAGTCGAACGAATGAAACCATCTGAAATTAATTAACAATAAATACAAATAACAGGTACATTGCTTCCGAATATAAGTACCTATGACTACGAATATCCTGAACACCATGTCTCAGACAACCAAGTCTCTTAACAGGATTATTCTCCAACAACCCCGTGATGAAATGTTTCGCAGAGGTTTTGATCACAGGCGGAAAATGATTTTCATTAATTCCACTAAGAATGTTATCGTACATGTCCAAGTCCGTTACATCTAGAAAAGGTGTTCGATTCAGAAGCATTTCGTACACGAGGATACCCAGTGCCCAATAATCGATAGCCCTTTAAATAAAAGCAGTCGTTCATTTTATTCAAGGACGTAAAAAAACCATTCCTTCAAATCAGGTGTAAGTTTGAAAACACGTACTGATTGTAAAGTTTGCTCTGAATAATCTCCGGAGCCAAGTACTCCGGTGTACCCATGAAGGTCTTCGTTTTGTGAGCCCCAATCATCTTGCTCGATCCGAAATCGGTCTACAAAGATAAAACAATTAGGGATCTTCGTTGATAAAAAGACATTCGCAGGTAAAAAACACTTGCAAGTTTAGCGTAACCATATTCGTTGAACACCACGTTCTCCGGCTTCAAGTCTCTGTAGATGATCCCCAGAGAATGAAGATGATGTAAAGCTTCCGAGATACAAGCAGTGACGAATCTAGCCGATAAATTTTCTAATCGTCCACTTCTGTTTAACATCGTTCTCAGATCTCCGCCTAGACAAGCCTCCAGCAAAAAGTACAGATACCTTTTGTCTTTGAAGGTTCTATGTAATCTACAAAGATTAGAATTGTATTATATAGGTCAAGTCTATTCAGACCTATTTACCCACTTGCAGATAAACGGTGAATTGCACATCTTCAAGTTATTCTTCTCGTTATAAATCATCTTCTGAAACATCCCCTCCGTGATCATGTGCTTCCTCACTTTTTTCCTAGCGAAGCTGACATTCGGTATCGACAGGATTGTAACCAGCTCCACCCTGCCGTAACCACCGGTGCCGATTGTTCTCTCGACAACTAAATTCGATAACGATAAATTGCGGAACTTGTTGTCCCACTTGTCCTCCTCGACCAATTTCTTCTGACAATCATCCCAGTTCTTGTTTCTGATCGAGTCCAGGCCCCCGAGGTACTCCAGGAACGTCCTAACAAAACCAACGACAGGAACAATCGCTAATATTCCTGTGAATTTACGTACTTTCTTTCTATGGTGTAGCATTCCACTCCAGGAGGCATTGCAATGGCGTTCGCTTTACGGGGCTCGTCGTTGTCGAAGAGGGCTCGTTCTCCGAAGTAGTCACCCTTCTTGAGGACCATCAGCTCCTGCTCGGTTCCGTTCGATCTGTTTTTGGTGATTTGTACGTTGCCGGCGTTTATTATGTAGAATTTATTGCCTAGTTGCTTTTCTCGTATTATGTAGGACTTTGACGGATAGAATTCCTGGAGTGAGATAGGTGTTGTAGTGATAAGGTATGCAGGTTCGGCTACTGGTGGGTTTAATTTCAGGGGATGGTAGTTAGGGTGATACTGAACAACTTCCTTTACCAAAATGTTGACTGAAACTTAGTTTTCGAATTATTAACCCCTTGCACTATAGCTTATTTGTCAAGTGCGTCAGTCAGAACTAATTACAGCTACAATATTAATACAATATTAATTATGTCAATATGTTATTATACAATCGTTGACTATGCAAATTATAATTGGACTTAAACTTCAAATTGAAGCGTACTAAAAATTCGAGTGAAATTGATCACGGCCGAAGTACGAGTGCGTCACAAATCTGACTCGTCAAAATAGTGCAACGGGTTAGAGAAAAACACTGACCACTTGTCAGTCGTTCAGTATCAACCAACTACCATCCCCTGAAATTATGCCCACCAGTAGCTGAACACTCTGTACATAGTGTTAGAGGTATTTACATACCACAGCTACCAAGTCGCATATTTTCAAGAGAGCCTCCTCCGGCAGATCACTGAATACTTCGATTTGACGAAGAAGTTTGAGATTGTACTGTACGGACTCTTCGTTACTCCTCGCCATGATGGTCCGAAACATGTGTCTGTCGAGAACCCATACCTTTCCATCTGTGCTAACTGAGAGATACATAAAGCGAATGATAAGCATGATCATGAATGATAAGCGTATATTTAAACATTGCATTAAACAAGCATAACATTGCATATATAGTTCAGATATATATACAATATCGTAACAGCTGTAGTATATGCTCTGAAGTTAAACTACTGCAGAAGTTACCAAGACCAAACCAAATATACCAGACCAAAGTTTGCTAACTGTAACGAAGTTTAGGTATTAAGAGTATTTGATACCGTCTATGGAGCACTGTCTTTTGGTGTTGTACAACAGGGCCAGTTCCCCGAAAGCGACACCAGGTCCAAAGCTCCCATGATACGTTTTACCCACGTATATTTCGAAGGAACCACTCTCGGAGACGTACAGATGAGAACCTACCATAGAGATTGAATGAATCTACCATAGTGATCCCAATAGTGACTGATGATCTCAAACTTCGAATTATTGCCTACCAGTCTCTCCTTCGAAAATAAGTCGGGTGTCTGCTTTCACTTTTTTGGGGTACATCACCGAAACGAGAGCCTCTATGCGCATGTCGTCGAGGTCGGAAAGGAATTTGTTACTGAGCAGAGCATTTCTGATTAGTGCCTTCGTCCTACAAGATGTAAGAGTCAAGTTATGATCGGAGGTGGTTGAAGAGATTTGATGAGTTCGATGAATTTCAATGAAGAGATTTGATGGATTTCAAAATGTGAAATTTCAGATTCGATCTTTGACAAGAAAATTTGGCTAATCTTTTAATTTGAATGTAATTAACAGATTTATTCAAAGATTTTACTTGTCATTTTTCTCGCAAATGGCGATCGAGGTATCAGCTGACACGTCCACATCACCGATTACCCCAGCTTTCCTCTGATGTGATAACTGTCGATAGCAGTCTTCGCTGTTCTGTCTTTTCAAACCAGAACACTTGATGTGTGCTTGAAAGCTCCTTCGCAAGAACATTTTGGACACTTATTCGACGAAAAAGGGAAACATTTTCTTCAGTGAGAAAATCACAATAGGATGTTGCTTCGAGTAGGTGAGAGCGACTGACGTTTAACGGCGATAGATTATTGATCTTATCTTTAATGAACTGCAATTCTCTTTGGTAAACGGTCTTACGAATGCGTTTGATAGATACGACAATATCAAGGATTTATGTCCAATCAAGTACTTCTTTTTTAAGGCTAGTTATCAGAACCCTCATTGAAATTGTAGAAGACTGATAAAACTAATGATTTCATTGATATTTTAGTTAAGAATTACTCATTAGAAATTTGAAGTTGTAGTTAAAGCTTATTTTACAATTATAAGTTACAATTTACAATTTTACAATTACAAAAAATGATATAACTTATAAATAATATAAAAGAATATTAATATTGGAAAGAAAGAAGTTATTAAACTTGTGTAACTTGCAGAAGAATAGAACTGAAAGAGGTGGTGAAATGAAACAATAATTAAACTCAAGTATAAATTTATTAATAACTCGTAACATTGTTAACAATCACATTCATGATAATAAGCATTTTTGATCATAGAGTATCTTTTTGTTCCTACTAGTCCAAAACGCTGGATCTATCTAATTACAGCCTAATCGTCAGAAAAAGCTCCATTAACGTCGTACTATTGTCACGTATGCAGTAACTATAAATAGGAAAACTGTTCATCGATCAAGTCCGAATCGGTTAGTGATAAGTGCAATCCGTCGTTTATCGACGGATTCTTATTGCATTATTGAAAGAGTTCCCCGCAACTTCATGAGTCATCTCTTATCGTTTAATGGATAAACCACGTAGATGTTGCTTATCCTGATGTATTTCTTGATGTTAAAAATTGTCATCCCATCCAGAGAATTCGTCAGGTGGTACATTGCGATCTGGAGGATATCTTTCGAAATTTCTTGTGTCGATTGGACTTCGTACCTGGAAAACATTGCTGTCTCAAAACTATGATCTATAGTGGTAGAGCTCAGTTAGGTTACTTAGGTGGATCTAGGTTAGGTTATTTAGGTAGATTGAGTAGATGGAGCTAAATAAGCTTTACTGGGGAAACAGTACGTGGAGAGGTATAGGGAATTATGGGGCAGTATAACTTCTTAGGGAAAATGACAATTTCCCAATTTTCCCAATTTCCTAATTTTCCCAATTTCGACGCTTAGTAATTCCACGCGTAGTAGTTCCACGCTTGGTAATTCGACGCTTGGTAATTCCACGCGTGGTAATTCGACGCGTGATAGTTTCACACTTGGTAATTCAACGCTTGGTAATTCCACGCGTGGTAATTCGACGCGTGGTAGGTCCACGCTTGGTAATACGACGCTTGGTAATTTCACGCGTGGTAATTCGACGCGTGGTAATTCGACGCGTGGTAGTAATTCGGCGCGTGATAATTCCACGCGTGGTAATTCGGCGCGTGATAATTCCACGCGTGGTAATTCGGCGCGTGATAATTCCACGCGTGGTAATTCGACGCTTAGTAATTCCACGCGTGGTAACTCGGCGCGTGATAATTCCACGCGTGGTAATTCGGCGCGTGATAATTCCACGCGTGGTAATTCGGCGCGTGATAATTCCACGCGTGGTAATTCGGCGCGTGATAATTCCACGCGTGGTAATTCGGCGCGTGATAATTCCACGCGTGGTAATTCGGCGCGTGATAATTCCACGCGTGGTAATTCGGCGCGTGATAATTCCACGCGTGGTAATTCGGCGCGTGATAATTCCACGCGTGGTAATTCGGCGCGTGATAATTCCACGCGTGGTAATTCGGCAATTTCCCAATTTCCTAATTTCAACGCGTGGTAATTCGACGCGTGGTAGTTCCACGCTTGGTAATTCGACGTTTGATAATTATAAGTGTACATTTATTCTAATAATTTTTGTGGAGGATCAGTTACTGGAGCTCTAATCAATTAGGTCTCATAGATACTATTAATATTTACCGTTGGTACGATAGGTGCTGGCATTCTAAGTCTCTGTAGAGCCTGCCAATTGAATCCATTGAACCACCTGCACAAATAATATTCATTAAAACATTTTGCGTTTTACCCAAACACATATATCAAATTAGAAGCCGCAACAATTTCGCAAAGATGCCACTTGGAAAAAGTATTATACTATTCATTTTATCCTGAGTGTCATCTTACCAACTCTAAGCATCATTAACTTTGCAACGTATTCAACGTTGTTATTCAATTAAGTTTACAATGTCATAATGTACATTTGAAATGTAACATTTAGTAAATGACTCACTTGTGGTCCCTAATATCCTGAATACCATTCCGTTGATACCCCAGTCGTTCCGAGGGACTCAGACGAAGCAGTTTCTTAATGAGATTGTTCGCGTTTTTGCTAACGATACTCGGTATCCCTACCACTTCGACTCCCTTCAAGATTTTATTGTAGGTGCTCATGTGATCGGGGCCTCGGAAGGGTGGTTTACCGACCAGCAGCTCGTGAGTCAATATTCCGAGAGCCCAGTAGTCCACCGCCCTGGGGTACAAAATACTTTCGTTTTACACTTTACTAAACTATGCATGCAGTTCTATGTTATGGTCTATAGAGCTATTTTAGGTTAAATTAGAGTAACTCGGTGATATCGTACCGGTCGTGTCCTTTGTTCAAAATGATCTCTGGAGCCACGTACTCTGGTGTGCCTGCGAAGGTCCAGGTTTTTGATGGTCCTATCTTTTTACTGAAACCGAAGTCCACCTAGAAGAAGTTCACATTAATTTATTTAGGTGTATACTTGATTTCCATGGTTAAATCAGATTATCCTTGACGCATTTGACCTACCAGTTTCAGATATCCCCGAGAATCAAGCATAAGATTTTCAGGCTTCAAGTCTCGGTAGACGATGTTTAATGAATGAAGATGATCGAGAGCTTCCACCACGCATCCCACCATAAATTGCGCCGTCGTATCATCGAAATACCGTCGTCTTTGAAGGGTCGTCCACACGTCCCCACCCAGACAGACTTCCATTAGGAAGTAGACGTACTTGCTGTCTTTGAAAGTCTGATAGAGTCTGTGAAATATGAATCAAACTTTATAAACATGTATGAGCATTAACTAGGTCAGGTGATACATTTAATAAACTGATGAATGGCCAGTGACCAATGACCAATGAAATGAACTATAACGTCAGTCTAGATGTCTGGAAATCCTTAATGACTTTCATCTAAAACTAAGATTTAATGTTATTACGTACGAGTGGTGATGTGATTAAAACTTTAAAAGATCCAATAACTTTGCATGTTACACTAACTTGCAAATGAACGGCGAGTCACAGGCCTGCATGATATGCTTCTCATTCAGCACATGCTCCTGTTGTTGCTGCTCGACCATGACCTTCTTCTTCAGCATCTTCAACGCGAAGCTCTTCTCACAGTCAGACTTCAAGGTAACCAATTCGACCCGTCCAAATCCACCGACTCCCAGAGTACCTCTAGTCTCCAAATCAGCCAAGGTAACATTCGAGTATTCGTTGGTCCACTTCTTAGGAGTCAGTGACAACTTCTGCTTCTCGTATTCCGCCACCCAATCTTTATTACGTATTTCGTCAAGACCACCCAGGTAGTTTAAGAAGGACCTGAAATACAATATTGTTTCAGAAAAGGAAAGAAAGAGGAAAGGAAAGACTCGTAGGAGACTTTCTCTGAAGAAAGATGACTCACTGTCGGTCCAAGGTTAAGCACTCGACTCCAGGTGCCAGGGCAACGACATTAGCGTGACGTCGGTTTTCACCGGAATCGTCATACAAAGCTATTTCTCCAAAATACTGTCCCTTTCCAAGGACCACGAGTTCCTCTTCGTCTCCGTATTCAGTGTCTTTGGTGATCCTCACGTTTCCGCCGCTGATTATGTAGAACTTCTCGCCCTTCTCTCCCTGGCGCACTATTTTAGCTCCAGCAGGGAAGAATTCCTAATAATTTTCTGGTATTAAAATTGAGGAAATGTGTTTGGAAGTATGAGACCTACCACACGTATCAGGTCGGAGATTTTAGCTAGGAGGTGGTCCTTCGGTTCTGGTAGCTTTTGGAGAACGGAAACCTGCCGGAGGAACCGGACGTTGCCTTCTAGTCGCTCTTGCGCTGTCCTCATCATCACCGTGAGGAACACCGATCTGTCCAACACCCATACTTTTCCACCCTTTTTCACTGGGAATTTTAACGCTGTATGAGTCTCAAATTACTTTACAAATTCACAATTTGTATGTACATTCATATATTGTTAATTAAAATTCCACGCTTGGCAATTTGGCGCGTGGTAATTCCACGCTTGGTAATTCGGAGCGTGGTAATTCCATGCTTGGTAATTCCATGCTTGGTAATTCGACGCGTGGTAATTCCACGCTTGGTAATTCCATGCTTGGTAATTCGGAGCGTGGTAATTCCGCGCGTAGTAATTCCACGCTTGGTAATTCTACGCTTGGTAATTCCATGCTTGGTAATTCCACGCTTGGTAATTCGACGCGTGGTAATTCCACGCTTGGTAATTCCATGCGTGGTAATTCGACGCGTGGTAATTCGGTGCGTGGTAATTCGGTGCGTGGTAATTCCACGCTTGGTAATTCGGTGCGTGGTAATTCGACGCGTGGTAATTCGGTGCGTGGTAATTCGGTGCGTGGTAATTCCACGCGTGGTAATTCCACGCGTGGTAATTCGGTGCGTGGTAATTCGGTGCGTGGTGATTCCAACCGTGGAATCAATATATTGACTCGAATGGCATTCGATTTGACTCCACAAGGTTTGTAGTGCTAGTATTTCATCTAGCCTTGTAGTGCTAGTCTTTTGCCCAGTCTTTTGTCTATTGTCCTTCAACGACACTTAGTATATTAATTAACTTACCATTAATCGATCGAAGTCTTTTGGTGTTGTACAACAAGGCGATCTCTCCAAAAGCAACACCCGGTCCGAAAGTTCTCTGGAACTTGTTACCCTGGTAAATATCAAACTCTCCCTCCGCAGACACGTACAGATGCGACCCTAAAGAGTCAATTAAAAACAAATATATACAAACTGTGATAGATATTTAGAATGAAGGCAAGCACGAAATATATTTTACCTATATCGCCTTCTCGAATAACTAGAGTATTAGGTGGTATCGTTTTAGAGTACATTGCGGAAACCAGTGCCTCTACCTGATTTTCCTCGAGGTTGCCGAGAAACTCGTTCTCCAAAATGGCCCTCTTGATCTGTCGTCTACTCCTATAAGAATTCAAATCTTCAGTAAACTTCCATCTAACTTGATTAGTAGTTCGACTACTTTTCATGTTTGAAGATATTACTTGGAGTCCTTTTCGTAGACGGGGGTGGGTGCAGAGGGTGGAGTCGGGGTCCTTCCAATGATTCCACCCCTGGGGTTGTTCGAGACCTGATCAGAACCGTCTGAATTTCGGGCATCTTCATTTTCGTGGTGCGTGGGAAGATGGTTGCTGCTCTTTCCAGGTGGCAGTGGCGCTCTGCCTTTTCCATTGGAAGTTAGGGGTGGACCCGTTCCGTTTGGTACTGCGGTACCGGGTACGGCTTGTATCTGCAAAAATTTATATTGGTGTTCTGTTATTTACTATTTTTGGTTTATTAAATATTGCAGTATATTATTTTAATATACATATCCACAGTACTTGTCTGTATCAAATTTAATTATAAATTTACTTACCACGCCATGAGTGGTATCCAATTCCCCAGATCGTTTGTAACTGGTCACCACCGGGACTTTTGTACTTACATTCTGCAAATAAACAATGAATAATACAAACTAGTCTTTAACGTAGTCTCCGATGTACTACACTGAGTCTAAATTATTCGTAAACACGTTAAATAATTTTGAGAACATTCTTCACAACATGACAATACAGAAAGTATATCAGGCTTGCAATCATTTAATTTCCACTCGGCAAAGATAACGAGTATCAATTATATTTATCTCTTACTCACCACGTTAACACCGTTCACATGATTCACCTCGTCATTCCCGGGCAGAGGGGTAAGATTGATACTACCCCTCTGACCCAGGATATTAGCCCTCGGGAAGCACGAGAACCTCATGATATCATCTTCGTCCAACACATGATGGAAGCACACTCTCTTAGCTCCTGAAACACACGAAAAGATTTATCATTCGTTTTCAATCATATTCGCGTGCGACTGCAACCATAAACACACGTTCTTGTCAGCGATCGACAGAATTGTCTTATCAGACCTGCGCCTCAACCACGAATTCCTCGTTCGCGTTAATCGCGATAACGACACTTATCATTCGACGAGCATCGTACGAGCACGAATTGCTTTATTGCTTCCTTCATTGCCACGACGAGCCATTGTGGTTACTCAAATTTCGGTAAATATTTGATCAATGACTATTTAATGCGTCAGAAACTTATATTTGGACGACATTAACATTCATAGCAAAAACGTAAATTGAACATAAAGATACGGTCTTCTTTCTTTAAGGGCTGAGGAGATTTGTTGGAGGAGTTGGGGATTTAGGCAGTTGCGAATTTAGGGATTTGGGTATTTGGGAATTTTGGGATTTGGGGATGTAGGGATTTGGGGATGTAGGGATTTGGGGATGTGAGGATTTGGGGGTGTAGGGATTTGGGAATGTAGGAATTTAGGGATGTGAGGATTTGGCGCGTGGTAATTCGGGGCATAGTAATTCGACGCGCTTGGTAACTCGAGGCGTGGTAATTCGATACGTGGGAATGCGGAGCGTAGTAATTCGACGCGTGGTAATTCGACACGTAGTAATTCGACGCGTGGTAATTCGACGCGTGGTAATTCGATACG